TGGAGTACCTGGCACTCGTCTGGGCTATCGCAAAATTCTGTCCGTACCTGTATACCTATACGCCAGTTCGAAGTCATCAAAGACCGCCATGCGCTCTGCTGGCTGTCTACACTTAAGGATCCAACAGAAAGACTCGGGCGATGGTCATTGCGATTGCAGTAGTACACGTTCTCGGTAGTGTACAAGTCCGGCAAGCTTCACAGCAATGCCGACTGTTTGTCTCGACACCCTGTTGATCCACCCAACTCCTCTGAGTTGGAAGCCGATTCCAACATCCTAGCCATAACAGATTTGCTGCGCATAGCCGACAAACAACGCCGAGATCTATCGCTGTTATCTATGATTGACTGTCTTCAATCGGGCCATAAAGATTCTTCACTGAGCATGTTTTTGCTTCAAGACGTTTTGTACTACCGCAACTTACAGCCCGACGGCGCAGAACTTTTGCTCATCGTCCCACGCCTTCCAGAATGACATGATTGCATGGCGAACACAAGCGACAGACCCGAACATGAAAATCATGACATGTGCATGTAACATGACTACATTCCACGCTCATGATGCGCTCGCGGTCGTTTCGCTAGCGTAACATATACCATTGGTATTACGCGATGCGAACGGATGACATAGATAAATGACGCATCCAAACATGATAATCACGACATGCATGTCACATATCAACATGACTACATGCCACGCTCATGATATGCGTGCGGCCGTTTCGCTAGCTTCACATATACCATTGGTATTACGCGATGCGAACGGATGACATAGATAAATGACGCATCCAAACATGATAATCACGACATGCATGTCACATATCAACATGACTACATGCCACGCTCATGATGTGCGTGCGGCCGTTTCGCTAGCTTCACATATGCCAAACTTGGTATCACGTGACCTTGATGCAACGCCAAGGTATGTGACTGGCGCAAACATGATTATCATGAGATGCGTGTTACCTGACAACATGACCACATGCCACAGTCAAGGCGCCAACACATTTTGGCGCGACGCAGTGCGCGTGCTCACCGGCGTTCATTTCGTCGCGTCACGCTGGCGTTGCCAACCCAGGTGCCCATCCAACCATACACTCGCAAGCACGTGCCGCACTGCGTTGCCTTGACGCATGCGCGTTTCAGCACGCCCGGCGTCCCTCAGTCACGAAAAGAGGGAGACGCAGTATTGTCTGCATAATGCATCGGCGCGAAACGCAGCATGTTGCATTTCGCTCCGGTTGCCATCGGGCCGCGCCAAAGGACGCTGTTCGCGCTACAGACTACAGAGTGCTCGCGTTTTGCTACCGTAGCATCGCTGTGCCCACCGTGCGCGCGTGTCAACGCTACATTCGAGCATACTGGGCCCTTCATGATGCGCTCGCGGCCGTTTTGCTAGGTCCACATATACCAAATTCGGTGTTACTTGACGTCAATGGATGACGAAAGTATATGACTGGTGCAAACATACTAATCCTGAGGAGCGTGTCACGTAAGCACAGCACATGACAACATACCATGCTCATTGCGTGCTCGCGGCTGTTTCGCTAGCTTCACATATAAATTTAGTATCAGGTGACGAGAATAGATGACGAAGGCAAACGACACATCCAAACATGATAATCATGACACGTAAGTCATGTAAGGCATCATTTACTTCCACCTCGTAATATTGTGATGATTTTAAAGTGACATATCAACCTTTCTCATTCGTGCTTCGCATATCATCGATTCCCACTGTACATGGGATCTGCGAATTGTTTGCCTTAATGAACTGTTAATCAGAAAGGCAGTATGAAAAGGCGGCTACACTGCATTGCACTCGCACAGTATAGATATTAAAGGGAAAGCTTTAGATGACAATAATATCTGGGGTTTTATGTTCCAGAACCACGATATGGTTAAGAGAAATAGCGTAATGGAGGGCTCCAAAAATTTTGACCATAAGGTGTTCTCTAACGTCCACAGACGTCACATGGTACATGGGCCTCTACCATTTCGCCTTCAACGAAATGCACTGCCACAGCCGAAATCGAACCCACGACTTCTGGCAAAAGCCTTAATGCCTCGTCAAAAGCAATAATTGACCGCCAGTGACTCGTGGCGTCTGGGACAACACGAGTGATGCAGAACACCATCAGGATGTCACAGATTGCGAAAATTTCACAATGCCACCGCAATGTCACGTGACATCACGGTGGCATTGTGAACTTTTCGTGCCCTGCCTCCGTGACGTCATCACGGAGGCAGGGAAAAAGCAGGTGCTGTGCCTTAAATTGTGGAGGCAGTTGAAGTAAAAGCATGCAGGGTGCATAAAGCTTTCAGAAGGAGGTGGTGAAGTATCAATACATCAACCAAAAATAAGAAGGCTTTCATTTTCCAGATTGCCTTGTTAGTATATATTCTTATTATTATTTTTGACTCCGAGCCTATCTGATTGCCCGACCGCTGGCTCGTGTAGCATTTTTGTACAGTACTTACGATTAGTTATTTTGTTGTTGTTTTTACTTAATTACCATTGGATGTTTTTAGATACATAAACCACTAACTTAAAGATTCTGCCGCCCAGTTCTTGGCCGACCCCCTTTGCGGGGAGTGCCAGCAGTACGAGAAGACCATCATCATCAGTCATCTTGGATGTGCACACAAAGGCCTCAACAAGTTTTTGATGTATGTGCTTGTGTGGGTTAAATGAGAGCTTCTAAAGAACATTTCTGTAACCAGGTTACGAACATATCAACTTTATTTACACTCAAACAAAAAAAGTTCACACCCGCACAATTAAAAAGAAAACATTCGAGCTGCATTGCAAGCCAACTAGAACGTGTTGTTGGGCTAGTTGGTTGATGTGGAATAAATGTAAAGGACACAGTACAAGTGACTCTCTGTCCTGTCCCCTCCTTTCTTCGTCTATGTAGGTTGCGTCCTTTGCCTTTAGTATTGCAAGACACATTCACACCTTAATATTAACTGTCTATAATGGCACTGACACTGTTACTACTGTACATAAAAGCATCAATTCCATAATTTTAATTACTCTAAGTGAGTATAAACACTGTAAAATAACATCAGCACTCTATGACATAGCCATCATAGTAAAGATCCAAATCTAAAATTAGCAATCGTCAAAATAAAAAGTACAAGGCTTAAAATGATGCCTCTCCGAGTGGCTCTAGAAAAGGTAGAATTTCTCAGCATAATGAGAAAATTATATAGTTACCTCTAATTCTCGTTATAAAACTATTTTATAAAATGCCATGCACTGCAAAACACACACATAGTGCCACATCTCACTAGTTAACTATCTACAGCATTATTTACATTTTGAGTGCCCCTTGGAAGAAAAAATGCTTCTGCATGCAAGCAATGTACACCGACACGTTGAATAACGGTAGAGTGCCAAGACAAGAAAAACAACCGAGCACAGACGTTTTTAAACTTAACAAGGCCATGATGAATCCGTGATAAATTAAGACAGTTTAAGAAATCACTTTGCCCTTGTCTGCTATACCCACGAACCATCATAATAGGCAAAAAGAAACTAATCTCGTTAAACCAGCATCACTAACTGTAACAATCAAAGCTCCCTGACCGGATCATATAACGAGCCTCTATCAAAAGCTACCTTCACCTCTTATAAACACTATAAAGTAACACCAGCACTCTATGACATAGCCATCATAGTAATGATCCGGATCTAAAATTATCAATTGTCAAGATAAAAAGTACAATCTCAAGACTAGGCTTAAAATGATGCCTCTTCGAGTGGCTCTAGAAAAGGTAGAATTTCTCAGCATAATAAGAAAATTATATAATTACCTCTAATTCTCGTTATAATACTATTTATAAAATGCCATGCAGTGCAAAACACACACATAGTGCCACATCTCACTAGTTAACTATTTACAGCATTATTTATATCTTGAGTGCCCCTTGGAAGAAAAAATGCTTCTGCATGCAAGCAATGTACACGGACACGTTGAATAACGGTAGAGTGCCAAGACAAGAAAAACAACCGAGCACAGACGTTTTTAAACTTAACAAGGCCATGATGAATCCGTGATAAATTAAGACAGTTTAAAAAATCACTTTGCCCTTGTCTGCTATATCTACGAACCATCATAATAGGCAAAAAGAAACTAATCTCGTTAAACCAGCACCACTAACTGTAACAATCAAAGCACCCTGACCGGCTCATATACCGAGCCTCTACCAAAAAATACCTGCACCTCTTAAAAATACTAGATGCATGCAACTTAACTCACTTTTTACACCAATGAAAAAACAAGCAGGTCAATAAATGAAGCATACACATATTGCATATGAACACACTGCAACAAAAATTTTTACATTGTTTCAGCAAGCAGCAACAAATGCCTTTTTCACTGAAGCATTCAGACCAGTACACAAACTCGTTAACTCCAAGGTGAGCAGAGAAAGCTATGGATCACATCAGCCAGCCAAAGAAGGCAACTGGAAGGCTTCCGTGCTGTATGCCTCAGATATGCCGATGAATCAGAGGAAAGCTGTGCGTTCCACATGTGGCAGAACAGCAAGCCCTTGTGGAACAAGCAGCCAGCCACCTACGGAACACAAGGCTGCCACCTATGAAACACACAGCCGCCACGTATGAAACGCACAGCCGCCAACTATAGAAAACACAGCCGCCCCCAATGGAACGCATAGTCGCTACCTATGGAACGCACAGCCACCACCTATGGAACGCACAGCCACCACCTATGGAACGCACAGCCACCACCTATGGACGCACAGCCGCATGCCATTACTGCTTGCCAACGATGAACTACCCTTGCATTCACAGCATATGATAAAACTGGCACGTATAGCTTCAAAGATGACCATACAACAAAATGAGAAGCGGGTAGCAATTCCTCGTTACATTGCCACAAATACAAAGTGCCCAAAGTTGAGCCGTTGTTGTACTCGAATGTCTGTCATTAGGCTGCTTCCCAAGAAGGGGCCTCGTATAAAAAAGCCTGCTCAATCAAAGTAGGCATTCTGGTCCATCGCCACAAAGAAGCGGTAGATGCGGCCCGAAATGACAGGTCCAACACGGCGCGTTGACTGCAGCGCTCCCGCACCTCTCCGGACCTGCAATCGGTGCATAGCTCAGAAAACGCAGCAGCTAGCTTGTCTGCAACATTTTAAAGCAAGGACAGAGCCTGGAGGTGGTGCACCAAGCATGTACCCCTCTCAAAATTTGTCTGCCAAAGGATAGGGCCGTACAAAACATTTTGTATCGCCATAACATATGTCTCCATCTCACCACCATAGTTCAGCACCGCAAAGGCTGTGGGGTGTAAGCAAGCTACACGTTTGCGCAGCAAGACATTCTTCCAGTTATAATTACCTTGCATTTTACCCGGTTAAAGCATATGCAGTTACATGACATCAATGTGCAATATGTTTATTCTTCTTCACATTCATGTCGTATTTATTTAATTGCGATGTCAGCCATCACCGGTAACTGTACTTACAAATCAACATGGCAACGGCCATGTAGACGCGACTGCCCGCTTTGATTCAAACTAGCACTTGCTATTGGTCCGCAGTGCTCACTGGCAGCAACAAATAAACGAAACCATTATCGAGGACAAAGCATCTGGTACTACTTGAGGTTATTCGCGAGATAAGCCATTTGTTGAGCTATGCCTGCTAAGCCTGATGCATTGAAAATATAACAATTTTTGGAATTAGCACAATATAGTTGTTAAAGTATTTCTGTTGAAGCATTAGCACATTAATTTAAGGCTAATACAAGCGTAATATTATAATACGGGTCACACAGTGCCCGATAACAACTTGTTAAATTCGAAGTGGACGGCATAAGCTGCGATGGGTGCAGCCATATTTTTTTTGGCAATATCGTCTGTCGGCAGACAGCCAAAACACAAGAAAACACTTCGAAATCTATCACATTACTCCAGTGGATCAACATTGTATCTTCATCTTTGGCATGTGTTTAAAAAATAAAGCTGTGACACTCATTTCCTCTTTTAACCTATTATGCTAGACTGATTACAATAGGGTTCTCAAAGACTAATTCGCCTGTCTAAACTGATCAGGCATTTACCTTTGGTGTCAGATTAAAGTACACACAAGTAGCACTACCAAGATAGAATAAATTGACTTCAGCCTACATGTCTATCAAGATAGCACCAACAAGACAGAGGCCAAAGTGTAAGGCTGCAATGGCCATATTAAAATATGAACAACTGCTGCATCCAAGGACGTTTCAGGGAAGCTCGAATTATGTTGGACTGGCAAAATGCACATCCACTATGCCCACATTGCACATAGTACATGTGCAAAGGATTTTTATAACACAGTGTAGTTTGACTTAAGCTTCTATTTTTTGATGCGTGTATCTAAGTTTCTGTAATTCGAACAGATTTTGTTCATGCCAATTTATTTCAGCCAGAGATAATTGGCAACGGTGTCCTTACCTGGATGTCCGCCAGCAGCGTTTCTCCTTTTGCACGCTCCTTGCACTCTTGGTATGCCTGAAAAAGTATGTATTTCTGGCACACCAACACAACACAGTATTCCAGCCCTGTCCCGAGATCATAGTTACCAATCAATCGATCAATCCATCAGATAGTCAGTTCATTGCATGTAAAATATATATAATTGCTGGTCATTAATGCCCATTGAAGGGCAAATGCAGGAGTCCATTCTTTAACAGAACAATATTGTCAGCATAATTCATGTCCACTGCAGAACAAAAGCCTCTTCCAGCAATCTTTCCTCCCATTTGCCTTGCATCACCTGGTAGCACCTCATGCCTACAAATTTTTGCCATTAGATCATACCATGGTCCTTTAATACTTTTTTCTGGTCGTGAAACTCCCGCGAAAGTTTCATTTGGGTACAAAAGTGGCCATCATAGGCGCCACCGTAAACAGGAGAGCATCGATCGGCCGTGCTTGGCAGGGCAGTAGCGCGTTCGCGGAAGTGTTTCCTATCAAATACACATCTTCAGATATTTTCGTTCTCAGTATTCTCGCTAACAAATCATAGCAGCTATTAGTATTTTCAAAGTGGCCCATGATGCGCATTGTCAGATTGCCTAGGTCCTTGATTGCTGGCAATGTTTTAACCGAGTCCATCTGTCAATTGACGCGCATTTGTAACGTTCCTAAATTTCTCAATTCCTGCACAGTCGCTTTCGGGCTTAAACCGAACACTGCGACTGGTTCTAGATGACTGAAAAGTTAACATAGTTTGCGCTAAAGATTGCAGAGCAGCCATGCTCTGGTTCCACGTAATGTTAATTTTCTGAATAATTGTCACTTTATTCTATAGGGCATCAAGAAGCAGCCAATAAAAGTTTGCGTGTTAATAAACAAATCTGTATATCAGGGTCACTTGGCATTAGTAGCATTGAAGCACCTTTTGAGAGATATCGTTAGGGATAAAGCCGAAAAAGTAAAAGCTCAGATTGAGACACCACAAGACTGAGAGGGATGCTCAAGTTGTGTTCTTTTCTCTTTTTATTTGGTGTCATGATTTACGCCCTTAACTTTAAAAATTAAAAAATGAGATGAAACTACTGTGCGCTGCTAGATATGGGCACTGAGTGCTATTTCGAAACAAAAGCTTTTGATTTTATGCATGAAGATTTGATAACACAGTCGAGTTTTTATATACAGGCTTTTTTTTTTATTCATTCTTATCTACTCTCCCAAGTCTGCCTTCTAATTAGCCACCCTGTTCCTCCTACGCGCACATAGAAATCAACCAGGATCTTCCTTCAACCCAGTTGTTCAGTTAAAACGAATCAGTTGTACATGAAACTACTACATTGCTCTTTTTGAATATTGCTACGTGCCAGTGCATGGAGCTGAAGAAGACGAAGGAGACAGACTGGCGCGAGCTAATCTGTCTCCTCAAGCTCAAGAAGGTTCTCACACCTGCGACCACTCAGTTCGTCCGTGTTGCGGATGGTGGAATAGCATCTATCGTGGCAGTGCTCCGCTCGTGTGAGCATTGCCGATCGACACACAGTTGTTCTCTTCACCGTCCTTTATAAATGCCCCCACGACGTAATCTTAGGCCTCGACTTCCTGTCCGCGCATTCTGCCCTCATAGACTGTTCGACCAGTACGCTCCGTCTACACTTGCCCGCAACAGGACCTCTTACACAACGGTCGAGTCGCCTCTGCACAACATGACACGCGCGCCTCCCTCCACAGACACTGACCTACATAGAGCTCGTCTCAATACCACCAGTTCCCGACGGTGACTATGTTCTGACGCCTATCACCGATGTCCTCATAAGCCGTGGCATTACATTACCGCACACCATTCTGTCCGTCGCAGGAAGTTCTATGTGCCTTCCAGTTGTCAACTTTAGCTTGTCACCTCAAGTTTTGCCACAAGGGATCTCTATGGCGTTGCTCTGCACCTTAGAAGACAATGCGGTAGATGTTCTCGCGATGGCCACTCCTTCTTACCCCCACGCTCGACATCAATCTGCCACTTGCTCCGACAGCGCTATTTCTTCGATGATCGCTTCCAACTTAATGCCGCAGCAGACTAATGAGCTCCACCGGGTTCTGCTGTCCTATATCGACGTTTTTGACATCAGCGGCCGTCCGTTGGAGAAAGCTACCGGTATGAGCCACCGCATAAACACTGGTAATGAGCATCCTATTCATAGGCGTCCATATCGGGTGTCGGCAGCCGAGCGTCACATCATCCAAAGTGAGGTCGACAAAATGCTCGCCAAGGACATCATTGAGCCATCCTGCAGTCCTTGGGCTTCTCCTGTAGTGCTAGTCCGCAAGAAAGACGGTGCATGGCGTTTCTGCGTGGATTATCGACACCTAAACAAAATTACCAAAAAAGACGTCTACCCTCTGCCACGAATAGATGATGCGCTTGATTGCCTCTATGGGTCCCACTATTTTTCCTCCATAGACCTTCGTTCCGGCTAGTGGCAGATAGAGGTAGATGAAATGGACCGTGAAAAGACGGCATTCATCACCCCTGATGGCCTGTATCAGTTCAAGGTCATGCCCTTCGGCCTTTGTAATGCTCCAGCCACCTTCGAACGAATGATGGACTCCCTGCTCAGAGGATTCAAATGGTCCACCTGTTTGTGCTACTTAGACGACGTCATCGTCTTTTAACCAACATTTGAAACTCACATAGAGCGCCTCTCAGCCATCCTGGGAATCTTCCGTCGCAGTGGCCTGCAGCTCAACTCGTCCAAATGTCACTTTGGATGCCATCAAATCACAGTGCTTGGCCATTTAGTAGACGCCAACGGTGTACAACCAGACCCGGCAAAAATCAGGGCCGTCAAAAACTTTCCTGTACCACGATCTGCGAAGGATGTACGCAGCTTTATCGGACTATGCTCATACTTTCGACGCTTCGTGAAAAATTTTGCGCACATAGCGCGGCCGCTTACGCAGCTCCTCAAGAAAGAAGTCCCGTTTTCATGGGGCTCCGAAGAGGCTTCTGCGTTCTCGACTCTCGTCGCTCTTCTCACTACCCCTCAGATTCTGGCACACTTCAACCCTCAGATTCTGGCACACTTCAACAGATGCAAGTGGGCATGGCATTGGTGCAGTGCTGGCTCAGAAACAACATGGCCATGATTGCGTTATTGCATATGCCAGCCGCCTCCTATCCACTTCTGAACGTAACTATTCGATAACAGAGCATGAGTGCTTGGCTCTTGTATGGGCGGTGGCGAAATTTCGACCTTACCTATACGGACGCCCATTTTCGGTAGTTACCGACCACCACGCACTCTGCTGGCTGAACTCTCTGAAAGATCCATCAGGCTGCCTTGGTCGCTGGGCTTTGCGCCTGCAAGAGTTTTCCTATTCGGTGGTCTACAAATCTGGCCACCTACACCGTGATGCCGATTGCCTCTCCCGCTACCCTGTAGACGATCCTGAGGACACTGACGAGCCCACGGAGAACTCTACCTTGTCAGTGTCCGACTTTCTTAATATTGGGGAAGAACAGAAGCATGATCCAGAGCTGCTTGACATCATCAGCCGTATGGAATCCTCCAGAAATGATGCTTCCGTCCGCTACTTTGTCATTCAAAAGGGTGTCCTATACCGTCGCAATTTCCGACCAGACGGGCCTGACCTTCTCATTGTTGTGCCTGAGCATGTGCGCCGCTGTGTTCTCACCGAACTTCACGACGCTCCCACGGCTGGACACCTTGGCGTATCCCGCACGTACGAGCGCGTCCGGCGCCGTTTTTTCTGGCCAGGCCTTGCTCGTTCGGTACGCCGATACGTTGCCACGTGTGACCTATGCCAACGTCGTAAAAAACCGTCGCTGCTACCCGCTGGCCATCTTCAACCAATTGACATACCCGCGAAACCATTTCACCGTGTTGGGTTAGACCTGCTTGGTCCTTTTCCCACATCAACATTGGGAAACAAATGGATAGCCGTTATTACAGACTACGCTACACGCTACGCTATTACGCGAGCTCTACCGACCAGCTGTGCAACCGACGTCGCTGACTTCTTGTTACGGGACGTTATATTGATTCACGGTGCTCCGAGACAGCTTCTCACAGACCATGGCCGTACATTTCTATCCCAAGTCATCGCCGACATTCTGCGTTCTTCTTCCACGCAACACACACTGATAACCCCTTATCACCCTCAAACAAACGGCCTCACGGAACGATTCAACCGCACTTTAACAAATATGCTCGCTATGTACGTGTCGCCCGACCACCGAGACTGGGACCTTGCCTTACCCTAGGCAACTTTCGCGTATAATTCATCCCGTCACGACACAGCGGGCTTTTCGCCGTTCTACTAATTGTACGGAAGAGAGCCGACTTTACCACTGGACACAGTCATCTCAGCTCACACCTCGTCCACCACCGAGTATGACCGGGACGCGATTGCGCGAGCCGATCATGCCCGTCAGCTCGCTCGCGCTCGGCTCATGGCGTCGCAAACTAACCAATGCCGTCGGTACGATGCGGAACATAGAGACGTACATTTTGCTCCCGGTACCCTCGTTTTACTCTGGTCCCCTCATCGTCGGCTGGGCCTATCCGAAAAACTTCTGTCTCATTACACGGGACCCTACCGTATATTGCGTCAAGTAACACCTGTCACCTACGAGATCAGCCTTATCAGTTCATCATCATCTACTATGCGGCCCAGTGATATTGTACACGTCTCGCGGATCAAGCCCTACAATAATGCATCAGATAACGACCTTTAAAGCACCGGTATGGTGCCTCCGCCGCCGGGGGTCATGCTACGTGCCAGTGCATGGAGCTGAAGAAGACGAAGGAGACAGACTGGCGCGAGCTAATCTGTGTGGCTGGCGCTGCTCGCCTAACCGGCTGAAAATACATCGGTGACTACCCCTCTGAGTCAGTCTCCTTCCCGTAACAATATTTCTAGAAATTTTTCTTATGCATTTGGATATCTCTTTCAATTGAACTTCAGCTTTTCATGTGAGAGACATTTCTGCCTAACGGAAACAAATCTGTGCACCACTTACCTAGCAGTGGGTAACGTTTTGAATTTAGCAACTACGCTATGCCTTGCAAGCAAATGTAGACAAACATGTCGGCATTTTTTTTTTTGCTGAAGTTACTGGCGCTCGTCAAAAATTCTTGACTGCTGTGAACACAGGCACATAGTTTATTCAAATCTACATTGCATAAACTGTGGTTGAAAGTTGCGAGATGAACGACAAAACAAAAATGACTGAAAAAAGTTTCCGCTGGCATAATTGAACCCTTGCTTCACGCTGCGAAGTTGGGCCTTCACTCTCTGCAGCTCCGATGCTGAACAAACAGTGATCTCTGTTTGACACTCTGTGTCAGCCTAGTAATTGCGATTCTCAGTTCTCACAACATCTGCAAAGAGTGAGGAAGTGCAAAATTTATAAGAGAAGGAACCAATTTGGTTAGCCTAGTGAGTGGATAGGATACTTGCAAGCTTTGTGCCAGACTTACTATCGATTTCTTCGTCGGCTGCACTGGAGACGTCTGCATTCGCAAACGTTGCATCACAATCCGGAGAAAGGTTTCGCGGCCTTTTTAGAGGTGGGTGCTTCGTTGCACGTGACCACTGTTTTGGTTTGAAGTGGTAAGAAGGTGAATTTTCGAAAATCCTTTGGTACGGCGTTTTCCACCAGTCTCGGTCATTCTCGAAGCAGCAAAACGATGACTCTGTTCACAGTGCACACGTTCGCACGTACAATGTCACTGGCGTCGAAATGTTTCTCACACACGCCAGCGTTCTTTGAGTCGAGCGAAAATCCAGCAGTCTCTTGTCGCAGGATCGCACGTTTCCACCTGTCGCGTTCTTGTGCATTGGCTGGGAAGCAGCCGGCCGAGCCGGCTTCCTCGCCTCTCTATCAACGCCAGCGCGGCGGAAAGTGCAGGCAGCGTATGAAGCTCTCCCATTGAGTGACGCCGGAGTTTCATGACCAGAAAAAGTATCAAAGGACCATGATCATACCATGCAGTTCTACACTGTTCTCGACTTCCTTTTCTGCCCCGCCACGGTGGTCTAGTGGCTTAGGTACTTGGCTGCTGAACCGCAGGTCATGGGATCGAATCCCAGCAGCGGCTGCATCATTTTCGATGGAGGCAGAAACGCTGTAGGCCCGTGTGCTCAGACGTGGGTGCACATTAAAGAACCCCGGGTAGTAAAAATTTCTGGAGCCCTCCACTACGGGATTTCTAATAATCATATAGTGGTTTTGGGACATTAAACCACATACATCATTTAATCGAACTGCATTTTTTTTTCAGTCATTGCCCGTTATGCAACTACAATTGAACAAAGTTGCATCTTACAAGAAAGTACTATATTTATTCAAATCTAGACTGATAGTTTTTTTTTTTCAAATTTTTTGTGTCAAACTTCAGGGTCGGCTAAGATTGAAAGATTTTGAAAAACACGGCATTTTTCATTGAGAAGAGTGGTGCAGAATTAGCGCCACCTAGACGGTATTGTAGTCATTAGTAGCCAAGCCAACACCCAGTTTAAGTACACACGTGAGGCCACCATTTTGAACTTTGTGGTGAGTGTTGAGGCGAGCCATTTGCCAATTCGAGTAGCGCTTCGAGTGGTCTGTATGTGGTGTAGCTCAATGGTGCCAAACATGCAGTGTCATTGTAGTGCCACATATGAAAGGAAAGTTGTCCTGGCCGTGGAGTCGTCGTTTAACGTTTAAGTTGGGCAAGACTTTCGAGTGGATGAAAGAAATGCATCGCTGTAGGTCCTCCAACATGGGACGACATCCTAGGAACTTTGATTGTGTGCTCTTTCAAAAAGTGCGGCACATCCAGTGCGCTTGATGGCGCAGAGGATCACGCACTGTTTGAAGACAGCAACAAAGAAGTCTGCGATAAAAGAAGCAGCGACGATGAATCGGAGTGAGTGCGGCATCGACAAGAACAGCATCTTTACAATACAAATACTAGAAACAGCATGAAAAACTTCGCCCCCTTCTTCTCGACGGTTGTTGGTGCCAGGCATGTCGAAGTAAAGAGGCGTCTGATCGGCATTCCCGATTTGCCCAAGCAGGTAGTCGTTGTTGCGCCGCAAGTTTAGGACGAACCTCTGAAAACTGTGAAGCTTTTCATCGTACTCCTCCGCAAAACTTTTCGCATATGCATGTTCCCCTTCGGAGGGAAAAGCCTTTCCTCTTCATAAAGTTAGTTAGCCAGCACTTGCTCGCTTAAAACTGGCGCTGCATTACACATTTCTCTAAGACTAATTGCACAGCCCGCACTTGGAGCAGTTCTGCCGTCACGGGCCGCTGTGCTGCTCGCTGCTAAAGCACATACTCGCCCAGCAGCTCTTTAATTTGCGGAAACGGACCCTGCTGTGGTCCACTGAAGCCTTTGCGTAAAGCTTTGCTGTCGAAAATCTTCTGCTTTTGTTTCCGCCGGTCCCGCACGCACGTTTCGGGAACTCCGAACGACCGCGATGCGGCCAAATAACTAGAAACAGCGTGAAAAAAAAAACGAAAGCAAACAAACACGCAACAGGACCAGTGGATGATCTTTCTCGAGTCACTTGCATCATGAACCAACTACTTCATTTAATCTTCATGTTCTATATATTTTTTTCGGTTTCTGAACGCGGTCTGTTTAGTTCTACCTACATTAGAGGTCCCCGCCACCCCCCTTCAGGCTTCAGAATTTTGCAGGTAGGCTTAGAATCGAGGTTAGTCTAGATTCTAGCAGATACGGTAAGTTTGTTAGATCGCAATATTCATTATAAAAGCTTTTTTTAATACTATCTAGTGCAAGACATTTTCATTTATTTCGTTCAAACCAATGCTTCATTATATCAGTGTTCATTATATTAAGGTATGAGTGTACTAGTTTTTGTCCCTGATGTGAGGTGTCTATTATAAGCAGGGTACTTTGTTCTCATTTAATGATCAACCACTATTTCACTGTTGGGCACAGCTGTGTCTGTTATAAAGATGTTCAACTGCGTAATAGATTGATGCTTATCTGCTTTATGAGTTACATATTCTGCTATACTTATTACTTAATTTCTACCTTTTAATCCTAATTAGAACATTACCTGTTTGCTTTGCAGTCAACCTGACCATCCTCGCAGCTTTTTGTTACACCGCTCACTACACTGTACTTAGATTCTTCTCAAACATTTATTGTAAGCTCATGCTCTTGATCCCATTTAGTATTAATGAGGCATGATCACAAGTGTACACAGTGGAGAAGGTGGCTCAGGTGCCACAAATTCGATCTCGCCATTTCTCCAGCTTTTGCTATACTGCAGGCAGCACGTGAAAGCCGATAATATCGCAACTAGAATGAAAACGAAGACGCCTGAAAACATTGACTGTGTGTGCACCACATTTGATACCAGCTAATGAAAACGCCTGGCTTTAGTTTCTTAATACTGTGCCATAACCGAAGTTGAGATACTTGCTTCACCAAAAATAAACGAAGCTAGATTCTTTTTCCTCTTTCCCCCGGATAGCTGCAAAAACAGCCAGATGTGGAACAAGGCCTTTGTCAAGTCATAGAGCACTACCTTTAATGCGGGTCCTTGAGCAAGCTCATAGGCGTTACCGAAGAAAGTGATTTAATGTCAAGCAGAGCCGAAAGCCCAGTTAGCTACCTTACAGCCTCGGGCTTGGTTAATGTTTGCCCTGTGGCCACAGTGTGAGTGAAATTAACTCTCTACCTGCAGGAGGAGCTTTGGTGCTGGATACTCGCACACGATGGCCTCGGCCACGTCCCTACTGACGCTGGCAAACTGCTCCAGCTGTGCCTGCCAGGTGCGCCTGAGGCTGTCGTGCTTGGAGAGTGAGCCAGGCGCCAGGTGTTGCAGTGGACGGCTCTGCTTGGCCTCCCTGTGTAGTTGGGGGCACAAAAGTGTGAAAACACGAAGATTCCCCACGCGATTTCTCATAAATTATTTATCATAAGTCAGGTATATGGGGGCAGCGCAATAGCTTATTCAAGAGAACTATGTGACTCAACAAAGCAAGCATACCTGCACCCACACAAGCAGCATTTTCAAGAAGCAATCACGTACATACATGCAAACTTATACACCTAAAGGTTTCCCTAATCTAGATGGGAGCCAGCAGATGGAAACATGTAGTGGGATAATCAGGGTAAACAGTGGAAGTGCCTCAGACAGGCTGGCCAACGTTTTGATAGGAGGACCTATCTTTGTCAAAGGCACCTTGTCATCCTTGGAGTGTTAGACAGAATATATTACTGTAGACAGAGTAATATTCTGTAATGTTTGAGTGAGCCTGAGTCTATGTGAACCTCTAGCGCAATATAAATTTCTTGATTAAGTCTGAGTGAGCTCCACCTTTCATTGCCATCCTATGGTTCTGTCTACTCATCTATCGGCACTACTATCAGCCCTATATCGGCCTACATTCATAATCCCCCAACTCTATTCATACATATTTCAATGCACCAGCATTCTTGAGCCTCTTCAATGTTAACTGATCAGAGTTGGAGGGGAGAGGCGGTTGTGCCATGATTTCCCCTTCCAAACTCTTTCACTCGATGTTCTTGAAAGAAATATCTTGTGCGAGTTGCATACTTCACAAAAGTGACCCTCAGCGGATTGCAACCCCTCATAACTCGTTCCAAGGTAGAAGATTGTTCGAAGGTAGAGATATTGTCGTTAAGAGCCCTAGATGACACGATTCGAAAAGAGACTTCACATTTAAAAGAAAAAAACGGGCATAGTGCAACAGCAAACCAACCAACGCCTTTTCGTACCTGTGTGGCCGCTCGGCCAGTGCACGGGTGAACATGGCTAGGTATTCGGTTAGCTCCTCTATGCTCTCCTTTGTTGCCACGGTGATGCCACTGTCTAGCTGCAGTGGCACTAGCGTCTGCACAAGCAACCAACAGAGAAAAATCGCAAACCAGCCACTTTACAAACAATTTCTCAACATCAAAACATATATGAAAGACAATCAGAATAAACAAGCGACATGATGGAAGACAAAAAAAAAGTTGGCAATAAATTGGCCCGATTCTGCACGTCACACTGTAAATGTCGTCGAAAGACGATAGTCTTGCGTCTGGAGAGAGTGAACAAAGCGTTTATTTGATGTTCTGCGCAAGAAAATCGGTGAATGATATCCTGGAAGCGCCACATTAGAGTGCCTCGAGCGTGTAGCGGAGGCGAACGAGCGCATCGAGGCACGGTAGACACAAGCGCCATCTGGCAGTTATCTTTGAAAACGAAGGCATGCGCACCCGAGGAGAAAGATGCGCACCAGTCTTGGAAGTGATAAGGTGTAGAACGCAAAGCGACGGGCAGGTGCCACCACCATGTCGTCGTAGCAAAGCATTAGAAACACCTTTTTGAGCATCGCGCTGCACTGTCAGCGCAGCGCAATAAACGCTACAGTCCCTAGAGTTACTTGTGTGTGCCTTTTCTAGTATAAAGGCAGACATACAAAACATAGACGTGTTATTATGGCGCCTCAGATATGCACAATATTCCCTTTTTAATTGACAATCGCACAACTATGAACGCTGAACCTTGAGCAATATTGGTGGGCGCTGCGGATGGGGTTGGCCGTTTCGTGCCGCAAAGGGGTATTGGTAAGGGCGGACAAACAGGCAAACATACAGACAGACCAAAATTTTTTCGTTGAAGGTCCCCAAGAAACACTATCATCTTTAAAAATGTTTTTAGTACACTGTGGTATGCATTTAGTCTACAAATGTACAAAAAAACTGAGACGAAATATTATACAGATGAATTCCTTTATAATAGACATGCAGTAGAGAGCAATTTGTCTTTTATAGGAGAGGTGCCTCTTATAAGCAACGTACGATATGTTCATTTTCTTATAAAACCACTGTTTCAATATAGGCCCCTGGATATATTTTATGGCCCCTTGTCTATTACATCAGGGTCTCTTATAAAAGAGTTCAACTGTAATAATTGTTAGGGTTTTACATCATAAAATCCCAGTATGATTACAAGGGACACCATAAATCAGAGATCTGGAAGCTTTGACCACCTGGTGTTTTTTAACATGCACCTATGAAGTGCACATGCCTCCAATATAGAAACACAGCCATATAAGTACAGTTGCTGTGGCTGGCATTTAACCCTGCAACCTTCGAATCGACAGTTGAGCACCATGACCACTATACCGCTATGGTGTATAGATAAAGAAAACATATTTGTCAGTGTTCGTGCCTCTGTTCTTGCTGTAGTGTGCCAGCCCCGAACAGTCGGAGTTCATCACAGAGAAGCTAACGTTGTAACACATTAGCTACACAGCATTAACAGCTAGCCAATGTGTTGCATGCCACCACCATCTGAAATTACGGAAACATATATTCCAGTGAATCCCTGCGGCACAGTGACAGTTGTCTCTGCCTCACCTCCTGGATGTCCTTGCGGGACAGGGGCACTCCGTCGTACACACCTGGCTTGCGCCTGCGAACTGCCGGCTGCGAGCCCAACACCAGGGCTCGGTATTCTGCGTTGGCTCGACTCTTCTGCTGCCTGTCGTTATTGTAGTGAAGCAAAAGATTCAATTATGGAGTGGTTTGATGGGTGCTTAAAGCACAGTACATTCGAATTCTTGCATTCAGCAAGGCTTTTTTAAACCTTAAGTAAAAGATGAAAAACTGGGCGAGTTTGTGCAGATTCGTCGCCGACAGCGTGAAAAACATGGACGAAGACGGGAAGTGGACGCCGAACAGCGCCGACTTTCAACTGAATTTTTATTGAAAACGATTACATATATAACAGATGAACAGGACACCTCATGACTTTTCACATTCTGTAGGCCTCTGTTCATCCTACAGAATATTTACTAAAACTAAATCAGTGAGAAAAAAAGCCCATTCTTACACAGCTACAATGGAAGTCAACTGAAAACTACAAATAAGAGCCAAACTACGTGCAAAAACGCTTGTAAAGATACATTTCTCAGCAATTGAAATGTGGGCCCCACAGCTGGGACAGAAGTCCCCAACCTCATGTTCAGTGATCGCGCACCTAAGCCACACATGGAGTACAGTGAGTAAAGAGCCAAGTCAATTATGAGGGCTTCGAGAGAATTGTAGAGCGTAATGACCCAACCAATGCTGTAACTAAAGGACATCGCAGAAGAAGGCACCAGATAATTTCAACTGGTCATGGTTCTTTACTGCACCACTAAATTGAGCAAGCACATATTTCCTTTGATTTCACTCGCTTCAGAAGGTGACCATATACCAGCCAGTGCTAAAACCTGCTACATTGTCTTAAAGGGGTACTGACACAAAATTTTGGGGTGGAGATAGCCTGGGGGATCAATTCTCATGAACATTTGTATATCATCTGCAAGATATCAACAGCGAATGAAGCTTGGAAGGTATTTTAAATTAATTTTGAAGTTTCCGTGAGCGATCGACTCCATAGCGCTATAGACAACCTCGGAGGTGACCCCGAGGCGACCCCCTACTTCCCTCACGTCACCACGCGGCGGTCAACAAAACAAGTTATCATGACGTCAAAGCCGCCATTTTTCTTTTGCCGCGTTTCCGATGCTGCCAGTAATCTTTGACGACTTGCGTGTGAAATCACGTTTTCACTATGGTGCCCACCAAGCATCGATACGAATCGTCAACACCACCTGTCCTCTTTGATGGCTCTCCACATGCCCACTGGACTCGACCGAAGAGAAGCCACCCTTCTTTATCGCTTATGGCTAGGAGTGGCATTTACAAAATCTTATTCCTTTGTCATAGGAATGGCCGACAACGCTCTCTGCGATGCCTGTCATTGTGAAGAGACGCTGCACCACATCCTGTGTGACTGTCCATTGTATGAAATCCAGAGACAGTCACTGGCATCCGCTTTTGCGCGCATCGACAACAGCCAAATGTCTGTGGACACTATTCTGTCAAGTGCCCGAGAGAAGACATTGCAACAGAAGCCGGTATGATCAGATAGTAAGGGGAATGCTCTGTGCATGCCTGTCTTATTTTTGTTCAGCAGCGTTGGCGGCCACCCACCACGGAGCCCAATGAGGGGACGCTACAAGTTTGCGGATGCTGAAACCTGCAGACGCCAGCCGTACAACGCCACTATGACCCAATGCGCCTAGACCAAGGTAGGCTATTTGCACAGGGTTAACCCTAGCCGCCAGGAAGTTTGGAAGTAAACGGAAGAGAGTAGAAGACAGGACAGATAAACAGTAAGAGATAAAGACGAAGATGTAGGGAGAGAGAGATAGGAAAAGGCGACTGCCGATTTCCCCTGGGTGGGTCAGCCCAGGGGTGCCGTCTACGTGAAGCCGGGGCCAAAAGGGTGTGTTGCCTCTGCCAAGGGGCCTTAAAGGTCCAATCACCCAGCGTCGGCTCAACCCCCAGGATCCCCTTTTCCCCGGACACGGCAAAGCCACACACGGCTAGGCGTGGGAGGGAGTCAAAACTGCCCCGTTAGCTCGGGTCCGTGGTGTCGCTACACACCAAACGCCTACTTGTGCAGGCGCCCCTGTGGGGCATGTCATGACTAACAGCCCTACAGCAATGCATTGCAGCAGAAAAACGCGAGGCCAAATTTTCTGTGTCAGTACCCCTTCAAGTTAGTAAAGTGTAAACAATATTAATGCCCCAAAACGCAAAGCATGCTAAAGTCCGTAAGAGACAAATGTAGTGATAGTCACAACTGAAAAGATTACCACAGAAAGCAAAGCACATGCAAGTACAGATAGCACCATCAAAAAAAGAAATAATATGCCATTCTTACGTAAGCACATCTCTGCTGCAGAAGAAAGGAAGAGCAAAAGCAAGAAACAGTCAGAAAAATAGATTTCTCCTAGTTTAAACTGGTTTACTGGCATACATAAGCAGCCTCTTGTAGCGCATGATGAAAAAAACAGCTAATAAATTTGAATTTAATGAACACAGAAAAAAGCCCCAACCACCTACGGAAAACTTTAAAGGAACCATGAAACAGTCAATACATCGGTAATTCAAAATTCAAATCAAGTATACTTGAAACTTATTAAGTTTCATGTAAACTGAACGGTCTCTCGAGATCACGAAAAGGGGAATTCAGGCATAAAAGTTTAATCATCATTGATTTTTCATACATGCCTTCTTGCAAAACACGAGATCAAACAGTCATCATACAAAGCTTGTATTTGTGAGAACTAATGAGCATGAATACTCGTCCTCCTCGCGAACAGTTACAGAGTGGAATTTATTACCCTCATCCTTTCAAATGCAAAGCATTTCTTTGAATACTGCAAAGCACCTTTGGGTATCTATCTGCATATCTATCTATCTGCCTACGTCTAGGTGCTATCTTGATCCTCACCTTCACTTGGAATGAACCAAAATTAGTTTGGGTGGGTAAGATGGTTTGACAAATACGACTCGCTGGTCATGACATGAATTATGTCACAATCCCATCGCATGTGTCCTCAAACACTTTCCACGAAACAGTGGCTCGTATACACGAGCAGGTGTGTGCCACTTGAATGCGGGTATGTGCCCCAGACGATTGAAACTTCATATCTACCCAGGAATGGCGAGAACACACACGGGTAATTTAAACGCACAAGCGTTCGGGAAAACCTAACATCGGCTGCATTGACCACATGAATATAAAGAAAATATGTCAGGGTCCCAGCAGAAGTTGAACCCCAGCCTTCTGCGTGGCAACCAAGCATTCTATGACAGAGTCACGCCAGGTCTCGCAACTGGTTTTCAAATAGACCGTAATGTTCATGAGGCATCGATTGGGTATGCAGTGATAGCTATTCAGTTTCATAAACATTATATATGTACTCCTACGATACAGCCATCACGTCGGGTTAAGATCAACTGTAGTAAAGCTCAATGCGCTGAAAGTGATTGACAGTTTATATCAATCAAGAAATGGCACAAACGGACACTGGTTATTTTAATTCAACAGCATTGATAAAAATAAACGCGTCTCCACGAAGTTAATGATGACCACTAGGTGAAGCTGGAGGTCCTAAGGTATATATTATCAAACTTTGAGGTCGCCAACTAGTAAAAGGATGGTCAAATGCATGGACAAACACATTAACAAACGGACATGTTTACATATGAACAAACGGACAGATGCATGGGTGCACATACAGACGGACGGCACGGGTGATCATCTATTATTGTGCTGTCGGTACAGTTTATTACACATGAGGTGGGTTGTTTACACATGTTTTCGTATTTGTTGTGCAGATTGTTCAGTTTCGATTCGGGTTTTGTGGGACGCGATAGACGGGTATGTGCCACTCGAATACGAGTATGTGTCACAGGTGAACCTATTGGTTTGTCTGTTAATGAAAGTAGATCATCAAACACGATGTTTTTAGTATTCTTTCGGTGTCATGTTCTTTGCTTGCGCGATATGTTCTGAGTAAGTTACGCGATATGTTCTGGATATGTTCTGGGTAGACTGGGTAACGTCCCTAGCGATTACAGTACACTCGCGGTAATTCAAACTCTGATAATTCAGACTTCCGGTTAATTTAAACAAAGTTCAATTTTTTGGTTGGCCCTGTATTCTTTCAATGTATTTAAAAGCCCTTTAATTCAAACTCCATCATTCGGTTAATTCATACTTTTTGTGGTTCCGTACCAGAAAATATCAGCTGCTTTCCCACTACTACACAAAAGTTTGGGTGCTTATATAAACCTAACAGTCTAAAAATGAAAAATAAGAACCTCAAGCCTTCAAGAAAAAAGGCTTTTCTAGTAAACAAATTTTTGAAAGAAAGGAAATGCAGGGTAAACTGTGATGCTTCTTAACTGGTATAGAGAGCTTTGTGCTGAAGGCACATATAGTAAAGAGGCAGTTACAATTCACGATTTATTTAAAGTGTATGATCAGTAGTAAATGGCTAATAAACTTGTGCACCTACACCACTGCTTTCTATTCACTGTGGGCAGTTGGCGTTTAAAAATTCTTTTAAAATTTTAAAATCTGATAACATCAGTGCCTAATCATAATGTGTGGTGTCACTTTAGCCACAGTCGTATATCTGAAAACTTCCGATGTTTAAAATTTCTTAATAATTCAAACAAAATTCAGAGGTCCCTTCGAGCTCGAATTAACAAGAGTCGACTGTACATCTGCGATATAAACCCTGTGCGGGCACCATGGGCCTTACATGCACCCACCGTTCGAGGTTTGAGCACAAAGCATTGAGAATAAACGTTTCATTTTGAGCAAAGCACCAGACCCACAGCGGCTGCTGCGCATAGCGAATGCCACCACCCTGTTTGGGAGTTGGCACATAGTGACAAGGCGCCTAAGATGTTCTTGGCTATAACCGCAGAAGACAAACTCTGTCTGCTTCGTTCATTGACTAAACTAGTCAAGTAGTCTGTTGAATCACATAACAGAAACAGGTAAATAAGAAGCATTATTGTTTCATTAAGCAGTACCCATCCAGTTCTAATGGGCGCTTGAATCTAGAGCATGGTAACTTTCAATAGCTTTGAACGAGAATAACTTTTATAGAAATAATGCTAGAACATATAAATAAGTTGAAAATCTAAGGTACACTCGATTTTTTTTCAGCTTGAAAAAAAAAGTGTGCCTCAAATTCTAGCGATTTCAATGAGATAAATCCAGTGACAAGATTGGAAACTCAAGCTCATACTGCACAACTTTGTTGGTGCTACTGCAGTGGCTTACTTGAAGTACTTCTCCAGCCCGTAGACGACATAGGTGAGCTGCCTGTTGGGATAGACTTCGTTGATGCTCATCATGTGCTCGCTGAGAGATGTCTGTGTCCTCACTGACGAGTCCTGCAACACAAGACGAAGTGGAAATGTGTCAAGAGGGAGATCTTGTTGCCCTGCCCTGGTCAAATCATCACTTGTTAATGACAAAATTATTTTAAAGCATACCAAGTAGGCTTTTGCGAATGTTGGAGCACTTCAAATAGAATGTCAAGGTATTCCAATTCGCTTCGATTCAAATTTAAATTATTGAAAATTTAAAAGTATTCAGAACGAACGAATAGGTGTACATTGACCTACATAAAACCCCTTGTAAAGGTAGTTTCACTGCGGCGAAGGGGTGCTGTACCGTGAACACACCTTTCCAAGCAAAATCCGCACTGCCGTAAAGTTTCCTTCAGGGTTATTTGAACATATTACTCGTAACGTATTTTACAGGTAATCACTTCCATTCTACCGAAAATCAAATCCTGCTACTAATCATAATTGCTTCCATTTATTTTTAACCAAGAATAATGGCATTTGCAGAGCCTAGTTTCAATTTTTATACAAGTTATTGTGCAGGCATAACAGTTATTGTGAGTCATAACAGATATGCTCATTTTTATTATGCGATATTGCTACGCGCGTTTTTAATATCATTTTTGTTTCATTTGGTTTTCGCCCACAAAGCCTGTCTGGAATACTCAGTGCAAACTGGGCCTCATTGTTCGATAAAGTTCGAGATTATTGTAGATTGTTCTGTTATGCTAGTTCGCAAGACACGAACACTCGAGATTATTCCAGAGCTTGCGCTACGCTGGTATATTCGACAGCACATGTATCGATGCTGACGCGCTTTGCCACTTGTCAGCTGATCGACGACTGACGCTCTGTTCGCCGCTATTAGTGCCAGTGTGCATCGCTGTAATCTGACTTTTCCTTGACCGGCCACAACTTTGGCCATATAAACAGTTTGGTCCTCCACCTACAGTCTGCTCCCTTCGTCGCCATCACGCCATGGTGACATTTGGTGGAGGTGCTGCCCTTTCCATGTACAGAACGCCCCCTTCAGGCCGTCTAGCCCACCTTGCAAAGAGAAGCCACCGACATTATCAGCCATAGTCAAGCCAGCCACAGACTGAAAGGAGTAGCCCCCAATACAGACCGTTACCGGACAAAACAAAGCCACGGCAACGCCAACAAGAGGCACAATAATAGCCGCAGTGTTTCCTGCAGCAGTAGTGATGCAGTAGCCAAAAAAGCCACCAACCATCCGCACATCGTCGTTTAAAAACCCGGAAACCTGATTGGGGACCTAAAACCGAGTGGCCGCCTTCAACCACTGGGACACGGAAGAGAAGGTGTGTCGCCTCTACTTCTACCTGGAAGATGCAGGAAGGGCATGGTATGACAATTGAGAGTCTGCCTTTCAAGCCTGGGACCTCTTTCGCAGCACATTCATGAGCACCATCAGGAGCATCGCTCGAAATTAATGGGCCACCACTTTGCTGGAGATACGGGTGCAGCTTCTTAACGAAGACGTGACACAATGCTTGGCAAGCGAGAAAACACATGAAAAGAAAAATGCAGGTGGAGATGCCACCTTGAGATTCCCGCACGAAACACCCTAATTTCAAACATTTTAAAGGTGTCTACCGAGTCCTACATAGCTACAAATTGATAAAAATCAGGTACATTGTCATCTCTGGATGCAGACATAGAATATGAAGTTTCAGAAAATTTCATCAAGCCAATGTCGCGAAAATAAGAAGAATACAATCTGAATTTTTCACGTCATGCGAGGAGATTTGGGTGCGATATTTGAAAATGAAACTGTTCGTTTGGTTTTCTCTGCTAATAATGAACTCATAATACTGAAACATATAGAATTAAAGTTTTTATAGTGTAGTTTGTTGATCTAAACCAAGTCACTGTCTCTCTTTAGTGTCCCTTTAAGCAGGGCTGGGCAGTATCGAAGATACATGTATCTGACATACTACAGTCGAATCTCATTAATTCCAACACGCTTAATTAGAACTTCGGTTAATTCGAACTGATGCTGTGGTCCCGTCAAAGCTATGCGTACTCCAATGGGCAAAAATGCCCTGCAATTCGAACGCACAAGCACTTGCGACGGTTCATTCGAACATATCGCTCTCACGAAATGCTCTCAGCACCACGCCAAATCCCGCGGCGGCACCTCCCGCACCTCAACGCTGTGCCCGAAGAAAGAAAAAATAAAGGAACGAAAAGGCTGTGGCAGAATGTTTTCTCTCTCTCAAATGACGATCTGTGACTTGCCGGTAGAGACCACGCTACCCCTTTCCTGTTTCTGCCACGCAGAGACCCTTCTCGTTTCAATGCCACGTGCAAAGAAAGAGGGGAAAAAATAAAAAGCTAGCAGAGTGTTGGTTCTCTCTCAAATGTTGATCTTCTTCTCTCCGCGTGAAGACGCTCCTTCTTTCTTGTCACGAGCTGGCCCCGCTGCAGCTGCGGCGCAGAGTAGCAGCGGATACGCAGTCGTTTTCGTCGTCTTTGGTGTGAGCAGTTGACTAGGCCCAACTAGGCGGCGTTTGTTAGTTTTGCAAGCGTCATGGCGACCAGAGGAGCTTATCGCCCACCAAAGGACCTTAAAACAAAGGTGGAAATTCTACGCGAAACTGAGAACAGCATTCTTTCCAAGACGGAAATTGCCAAGAAGTATGACATCACCAAGAGTTCCTTTGTTCCTGATGTATGTCAACATACATCAGGAACAAAGGCTCTGTCATTGTTGTACGTGAAAATCAGCAAATGAAACCGTCGAGGAAGAGGCTGCGGACATCAGCACATCCCCAGCTGAAGGACGCTCTCGTTATGTGGATTAAGCAGGTTCGCAGCCAGAACCTCCCACTCAGTGGGCCGATAACAGCCGCCAAGGCGAGGGAGTTCACTACTAAGATGGCTCTTGAAGAATTCTCGGCATCGGATGGGTGGCTGTCACGCTTTAAGAAATGCCACGGGCTCACTTTCAACACTGTTTGAGGTGAGAAGGCGTATGTCGACAGAGCCAAATTCGAAGAATGGCTCTCTGGGCGTTTGAAGGAGCTACTTTCTGCCTGCTCGCTCGACAACGTCTTCAACGTCGATGAGACAGCGCTCTATCATAAATTGCTGCCCAGTAAAACCATCACTTTTCAGGGCGACGATTGTGGCGGTGGAAAGAAAAGTAAAGAGAGGCTAACAGTGATGCTGTGTGCGAACACGACGGGCACGGAGCGTTGCCGGTTGCTCATAATTGGCAAAGCTACTAAGCCTCGCTACTTCTAAGGTGTGAAGAGCCTTCCCGTTGATTACGTTAAGAATAAGAAGCCGTGGATGACCATGAACATTTTTTCTGATTGGGTGCGTGTACTGGACAGAAAATTCGCCACAAAAGGCCGGAAGATCCTCCTTTTCGTGGACAATCGCGCCGCGCACTGCAATGTTGAAGGCCTACGTGCAATTCGTTCTGCCTTCCTGCCCAAGAATACGACGGCACTGCTCCAGCCCATGGACATAGGCGTGATCCAGAATTTAAAAACTGTATACCGCCGACATATCCTTGAAAGGATGCTGTTGTGTCTCAACAGCGAGAAAACTTATTCAATCGATCTCCTCGGCGCAGCACAAATCCTTACTAATGCGTGGAACTCTATTAAGCAGGATACCATTTGCCAATTGCCTTAGGAAGTGTGATTTTGTTGAACCCATGGCTAGTGGTGATGAAGTGGCGCTGCAGATTTCTCCCGACGATTTCGTCTGCGTTCCTGACCACTTCAGCAGTGTTCTACCAGATGGCGTGACGTTTCAAAGTTACATGCAGGTGGACAGTTTTGTTCAGACTTCTGGCATCATCCCTCATGCTTAAATTATTGAATCTGCGTGCCCTCAAGTGGCCACACTGGAGGACCCTACCACCGTCAGCAACGAGAATTGTGATGACACTATTGAAGCAAATGAGGGGCCCCTCTCTCCGCCTAGTGATGCTGAAGCATTGTCGGCACTGGACTTAGCCGCCCGCTACTTCTCCTGCCAAGAGAATGGTGGAGCTGAAGTTGAAATGGTTTGCAAACTGCGTGCGAAATTGATTGACTCGCCGCAAGGCAAATGTGTGCAAACACGCATCACTGATTTCTTCAATTAATGACAGTTGTCCTGTGATTTGCAAATAAATGTAAGTCTTCTAAAACATACCCCTTGTGTGTTAGCTAATGCACATGCGCCACTGCATGGTTAGGCCTCCGTTAATTTAGCTTTCATTAATTCGAACAAATTTTCGGGCTCCTTCGAGTTCGAATTATCAAGATTTGAATTATCGAGATTCGACTAATCGATCCATCGATATGTCCCAAAACCACCATGATTATGAGAGACGCTCGAGATCCGACTGTACCTTAGATACTCTTTGAACATCTTGTATCTGTACCGCAATTTGTCTTGCAAGATGAGTATCTGTATCTTTCCATAGCATTCGATAATGTATCGTGCATCTTAAGATACAAAATACCGCAGTCGCAACACTGTAGTGTTCGAAACTATAATCGCTGGCTGAACTCCGCTGCTCAGGCTGGTACTGGTGTCACAAAGCCACCTGAACAAAGCTAAGGACTGTGACAACATTTTATCCACTCCACCGGTCGGGGTAGGTGATGACGTGTTCCTTTTAGTGAAGCAGAGCAGTGCGATTGAGCTTGCGCAGTGTTGACAGAAACTGCGTTTGAGTGTCATTAGTGAGTTTCATCTCTACCATTGACTGCCGCTTTATTTATAGTCCTCTCACTCAAAAAACTATTGCACGTTAGTACATATGTAATTAGCTAATCATTTATGCTGGCAGATAAAAAGAATAAGAAACATATCAGCTCTATGAGCCCTGTGTTGGCCTGCCTATACCATATTTACTTGCATAATCCTCGCACTTTTTTTGGCGGAAAACCGATGCAAAGTTGGGGGGTGGGAGAATCACGCGGGGAAAGCTTTCCACGAAAACGTACACAGCAAAAAAAGAAAACGAGGTGGCCGCACATCGGGATTCTCACACCAGCAACTAACAGCAAGCTTTGAAAAGTACTAATCAAAGCTTACCTCAACATTAAAAGCACTAGTTCAACAGAAGGCAAGACTAATTTGAGACACAAAAAGTGCAAGCAAATAGTCGAGAATTCGAATACCATACGCAAAGCTTGTGGGTGTTGCGGGCGTAGCGGTAGCATTCGTCACACAACAGGAGCCCTCAAAAGGTAAGCGTAGGACGTCAGTATTAAGCTGATGGCTATTTAACTGAATCGTCCGCACTTTCCTTCTGGAAAAATAAAGATTACGGTCAATCCCAGTTTTAGGCACACGGCAGGCCCAACGCGTCTTGGTTGCTTTCAGCTGCAGTCACCAGTAGCCAACACAAAACTCGTAGGCTCCGAAGGGCCTACCGACGGCCTTGTTGTCGTTGTTTAATGCATGATCTATCACTTTCAACTTGAAAGCAGCCGTGTAGCTTTAGTATCGCCCCATAACGTGACAAGATTACCGATACAACATACAAAAACACGCCGCAACGCCCACTTGCCACTTTGGCTTCGCTTGGATTGAATTTCCGTGCAGTAATAGTACGCTTGATGCTTAAGAGATGGCGCCAGATGACGCGCGCTATCATCATCAGTGGTTGGAATGAGCAGACGACATTATTGCGGCTGTTTTCGGGGGTGCGATTATTGCTTGAGGAAAAAAAGAAATCGTATTTTTGTTGGGCGATGTGCAGGGTGCGAGAATTATGTGAGTGCGAGGATCACGCGAGTAAATACGGTATACACAATGTTCCACAAAAATGCCGCACCGGCATTGTTTCCGCTGTACACCAGTGATTCGGTATTGCAAAACGGTCTTTTATGAACAAATTGAAGGTGTACACCGGTTATTATGCCATGATGCAAAGGCTTTTATTTTAACCCTTTCAGCCCTGGATTTTTTATTTTGGTCAGATACAATTTTGTGCGCGTTTTTCTCGTAGTTAGGACGTCTGAAGACCACAAACGAAAAATTGAGCCACTGGTACGAGCACTTTTGGATTAATTAACGTGGCATCAAATTAGGTAATTAGGGCCCAGAGATTGGAAAATGAAAAAAATGGCGTCTTTTTTCCTCTCAATCAATGGTGTACACAAAATGGAAACCAACGTCATACTTTTCAGCCTAATACTCACTGAAACAGCTTCGATACGTCGTTCCGAAAATGGCGCTTACCCACCTCAACTTACGCGCCTCGGCTTTACGGGAGACCTCGGCCGCGTTTCTTGTTCTTTGTGCCTGCTACCTCCACAAACGTGCCGCAATATTGGTGTCAATTGCAGTGGGGATCATTGAACAACTATGCCCCCAAGAATGAGTAGTTTTGGTTACGTTTTCGAGATACTAGGGGAAATCTTGTGCGGTGGTGTCAATTGACACTGCCAGGGTCGAAAGGGTTAAACTTGTGTGATTAGATGATAACCTGCGAGCTGGTCAGCAGCCACTCAGCTCAGCAGCAACTCGCATCAATTACAGAAATGACAAGCAAGAAGTGCTGTCAGTTAAGTTTCTACAGTGCTGTCTTGTTAAACAGCTAAATCAAACCCTAATAAGTTCTTCCGGAGTAAACCAATTTACTGAGGGACAAAGCTTTTCGGGATACCAATAAATAAATCAATAAAATAAAATTTGGCACGTTTAGGAAATTTTCAAACCATCGTTTCAGTGCACACGTGTTCCGTGCTAGATAGCAGGAGTCTATAACAAATTTGCAAATGTATCGCAGCGTCTTAAAATACAATTAACAGGTACTGTATCGGATTCTTGCGGCAGTATCTTGTACCTCTATATCCAGTACCTCTTGTTGGAGTATCTTGTATCGTATCACGGTACACTTTCAAAGTATCTTTGCCCAGCCCTGCCTTTAAGCATGCCACCAACCTGCCTCTGGGAAGCGACCAGGTGCAAAAATTGGTCCCAGGGAAGCACCACCATTACGTCCCTTTCTTCCACCTGATCCCTGGACAGCACGCAGTCATCCTGCACAAGAAAAAAAAACAAGCCAAATCATGAACATTAACCTAAATACTACAACACTACCGCACACGTGTGGAGGTGACAACCAATACAGGATTATCGCTTTTTTTTTTTTTCTTTAAATGTGCTTGCTACACAATAGATGGGCGAGTTACGTACAATGCAACGAAAGTATCACAACTACAGATACGAATTCAGGGACATGAATGTGCACCTGCAATTAATATATCTGGGGTTTAACGTCCCAAAACCACGATATATGATTATGAAAGACGCCGTAGTGGAAGGCTATCCATTCTCTATTTCTATCCTCTGGTATTGTTTAACGTGCACTGCAATCATGCTGCATTTACTGTGCACTTATAATTTACTGTACACTTCTAATGCGCATTTTTAATGTGCATTACAGTTAAGATGGCATGTAGTATCATGATGCACATATAAACAGCCTATATATTTGAACCATGTATCACGTTTCAATTACTGTGCTTGCTGCTGTCATTTCAGTCATATTCTGGACATGAAATTGCTCAACAAAAAGCTCAATGCTGCTGTGTGCGTCCCAGTCAGAATAGTTTGACAATATAACAAACACGGATCCAATGAAGTAAATGTAAGTATATACCAATTTTCTACGTATCCTGATATGTAAATGAATATAAGAATGAAACATAAAACGATCTCAGTGAAAGTGAAAAAAATTTGGCGTTTGCCTGGTAGGTCGATATATAATCCGGTGACATAGTTCCAACAGGATTGATTTGATATGTGGGGTTTAACGTCCCAAAACCCCGATATGATTATGAGAGACGCCGTAGTGGAGGGCTTTGGAACTTTTGACCACCAGGGTTTTTTTAACGTGCACCCGAATCTGAGCACACGGGGCCTACAGCATTTCCGCCTCCATCGGAAATGCAGCCGCCGCAGCCGGGATTCGATCCCGCAACCTACGGGTCAGCAGCCGAGTACCTTAGCCACTAGACCACCGCGGCGGGGCATAGTTCCACAAGCAACCTGACGCATTCTGAAGGTTTATGCGTACTTTTGCTCGTGCTAAACTGCAAACAGCATGCTGAAATGCCAATCCGATGGGACTATAACACCAACTGTACATTCTTATGTAAAGGAAAGTTCAATACATGTTTATAATAGAGCACCGCCCTAGTGTCATGCATTGGCACAGTAAGCCATCAATAGGCCTTTAGGATTGGCAGGAGACTCTGCTGGCCGGCTGGGATTAACAATCTTGCACTTTTTGCTAGTATGTGCATTTATATTAAATATTCCAAAACAAAAATAGGTTCATTATATCCAAAAATTCATTACGAAGGTATATTCCTAACACTGTATCTATTGCAAGACTATACATTTACTTCCTTATAAGCAATATTTTGTTATATCTAGATTCGTTATAACACAGATTGAGCTTATATGGTGAATTCAACTTCAGAATAGTAAAATTGAATATCTTATTGGAAATATGTTGTGTCCTTTTTGAATCCTAATAATAAGAAGAGGGATATGTACTGCAAAAAAAATTCTCAGAGGTAAGAACCAGTACAGCATTGTCTCCCCAATTGTGCATGTCCGGCTAAGCATCACACATCTGTCAACGCATATTCGCCTGTCCTATACTTTTCACAAGGAGAAATGCATATTTCAGAGACACCTAGCCTGCATACTAGGCGTATTTGAATAGTGAATTTTAGGTTTTAAAGGGATTGTCTACCGTCCTACATTGCTCTCCTGTTTTATGTCACAATGAAAAGCGTACCATGTGAAGTGTCTAACCTTGCAGCAGTTTCTCTGGAAAGTGCGTAGAATTTTTTAAAACACAATTTTTCTGTTTGCATTATGTCTCCTTCCATCGGTGAGATGAATGCCGGCAACACTGGTGGGTGCCGGTGAAAATCCAAAACTGAGAGTGCGGTTTTCGCAGGCTTCATCAAGTTTGGTTACTGATAGAACAATTACCTCAGTAGCCATTTTAGCCGCGCGCACAAAATTTTGTTCTTCTCATGATCGGCGGCGGACACCGTGGCCGCGTTTCTTCGCCATTTGCAGGCAGGCATGCAGGCAAGCGAACACACCGCCGGCAGCGCCACCGGGCACCTGTTTGAACGTTTGAGAAAAAAATGAAAATCGGTCTCTGGCACAATACAGAGCTGCTTCAAGTAAATTAAATACAAATTCAAGTTAAACATTTTTGTTTTAAAGCAAAATAATCCTACCTGCCATGATTTTTTTGTCCTACCAATAGATTGTCAAGACTGACCACATTCCCTGTTGGGTGACGCTAGTTTGTCACTTTTTATAGACTTTCAACATCGAGTGAAATTATTATTTTTTTTTTCTGGCACAAACGCATGCTTGTTGCCGGCAATGTGATGAACGATCTTTTCATTGGCGCAACAATCAGAAAAATTTTTCCGAGCGGTAGACAGTCCCTTTAAGTAAATAATGATTTTGGTCAAATAAATTCAAATCAAATTTGCATAGAATATATGCTGTATAAAAAAATTGGCATATTTATCATGACCTACCTAACTTGCACATTATTTTTTTAAACAAGACCTCTATGCAAGAGCTTTCTTTATTTTTTCCATTCAAGGAAGTCTGAACAACTTTGAGAAGTAGCAGGATTTGACTTTCAGCAGGATATAAGCGATAACCTGTAGAATACGTAACTTTATTCATTACAGTTAGAGTGTGTAAACCAGCAAAACAAAACAATGATCAATATATTTGAGGATATGTTCATTTGAAGAGACCCTGCAACAGTTTTTCAAGAAACGGATTCACTAAAGAAGCTTATTGCAAGGCTTATGAATTAACCACAGCAAAAATTCTTTAGAATCTGTCCAGTACGAGTGGAGTTACAAAGATTTGTCACATGCTGCGATTGCATTCTCTCTTCTCTCTTTCCGATGAAAGCCCTTGAAGCAAAGCTGGGAGAGATGGAAAAGAAAATACGACAAGTGCGTGCCGTGACCTTGAGCCCTCCTTCTCTCCCATTTTTTTTTTTCTTTCAATATGCGGCTTTTTAGTGCGATCGCGCATGTACTGTGGACATGTCGTGGCCACACGCAGCAGCCCCAGTAACGATCGAGCGCCCCATGCTCGGTCGATTTTTGACATTGTGGAGTCATTTGCCGAGAGAAGAGAGCAATATTTATCTGACTTTCAGAGCTTATTGTGAGCTCCAGGTCGCGTGCTGTGCTATAATATTTAGCTTGCGTGTTCTCGGTAGCCTCAACTACCGATAGGCAGCGTTTGTTGACCATGCCCAAGAAGTGTTGCAGGGCCCCTTTAAATTTTAAGTAGAGCTTCGCGGTAGAGCACATTTCCCTTGAATGGGTACTTTCACGGTTTAGCACCACTATGCTGCAGTAAAACCACCTTTACAAGCAATTACATGCGTTTTGATATACACCTATTCATTCATGTCAAATACTTAGAAATATTCGATTATTTAAGTTCGAATTGAATACTCTATTATTTGTTCGAATATTCCCACAAGCCTACTGCATGCACATTTGCAGCGCATGCGATAAGGCGGGCCCATCTAGCTCGTGCGATGAAACAAGTTGCATTTTTGCTTTTGTTCCGGCAGTTTTGTCAATTTACTGCACAGCAGGAAGGTTACGGAAGCTGCAAAATAACGAGGTGCTCATTGTCCTCATCAAACACCGCCCTACACTATGGCACCCAAAGCGCGAACATCGCAAGAACATGCGACAAGGTGCCCCTAGGTCAAGGTAGCATGAATTGCACTAACAGACACTGCCATTGCCGGTGAGTTCTCAGAAACTCTATATGCGTATCGAGTACTTCAGATTATGATCATGCTCAAGCCCATCTCTATTGCTTCTTGAACACAACCTACAAAAAGGAGTTGACCGCCATCAAGAAATTTTGGGCTAACTCGCGACCAAAAGAGTGTACGGATTTGTGTCACATGTGAACACGATATTACTGCCTCAATACAAAAGCAGTGAAAGTCAATAAGGGACAAATTTCGCCGCCTCCTCAAGGCCATAAGAGATAAATGGTACCGCAGAAGAGACCACGCAAGACATCAACTGGCTATGCTTCAAGTGGATGATGTTCCTTTCTAATACGGTGTACCAAATAATACTGCAATACTCTTTCTAGCATTTGAAGCACTGAAGTATTCATACAGGTCTAGTTTTGATTTCAAACATGTGTCGACAAGCCCAGCTTGTCCACTACTTGAAAGTGGTAAAACTTCACACACTTCTCTCCTTGAAAACACTCGATAGCTCGACATACCTCATTTAGAGACAGTGCAGTGCGCTTCCAACAGACGGCACGCTCTACAGGTAGTGTCTGGATTTCAGCTCGGATTTCTGCCTGCTCTAGCGTCTCGCACATCAGCTGGAGCGAGGCCTCGTCGTCCATTAGCCGGGAGTCCAACACCACTGTCACATACTGCGTGGCACATTGTTGCTACTATTATCGCAACACTTTGCAATGATGAAATCACTAAGCCAAGCAACGGAACTCATATTAAGCAGCATTTTTAGGCACACACGTACATTGGTATGATTCGAATAAATAGTTGCCACTATTATTTGTGCCCACCCCTGTCCCCGCATGCTGAAAAACTTGAAGCAACAAAGAAAGGGTGCCGGCCGCTAACCTTCATGCAGTGCCCAGGCTTAGAGGCGCGCCCAATTTCGATGGCCATGGCCTTGCGCTGCTTCTCGAGCTCCTTCGCGACACGGCGGGCCTCGCGCTCTTCGGGAGTGATGCGTACGCGCTTGGCCTTCAGTTGCGTATACGCCAGTGCCGCCACCGTCCCTTCGTCCACCTACACAGGAGAAGCAGGTTTACCTGTCAGATTTATGCATGCCAACCTAAATTTGAAACCTTTAGCAACATACAATGCATTTTTATACTTTTCAGGAACCAGTAGAATCGTTATGTTGTCCTAGATGATTTTATCATCGTGAAAAAAGCTTCAAAAGGCAACAATACTAGAAGAAGAGGAGGTAGGAAGCAAATTTCTTTAAAGCATGCTCTGGGCATACACACTTTTTTAAATGCCATTTTGCCACACAGTTCTAACAGCAATGATTGCAGCAGCCAGTTCAACAAATCTTTAATTATTTAATAAGCAAAATTGTGCCTGGCAAAGCAAAACACCTGCAATACAATGATAGCACCTAGCACGCTCACTGATCATCGAAAAACCAACTGTAAGGCAACATGCGGTGGCTTCTGCGAATGACAAATAGTACGATTCAGCGTCTATTGCCATGTATCAGTAGCACTCATGCATAGATAGTGCCACAGTAAATGAAGAGGCACACAGACAATAAAAAATCACACTTAACAGAGCAAAAAAAGACATGGACAAAAGAGAAAACCAGCCTTATTAAGCACCAACATAACCAACTTGTACAATTTTCTATCCTCATTCAGCAATGTAACAGAGCAACGTACTTCACTTCTGCGAAGGTTAAGCACCACGGTGAGAGCAGGTGGGCAAACAAACTCCAGCATGCACCTCGCCCAACTCTGCATTTTCTGTCGCATGCAATGAGGAGTGCTGTTACATTCCCATAAGAACTGCTGCTGAGTGATATAAACTCAAATTAAATTGGAACGGCTGCTGCATCAGAATGGTTAAACATTGTAATAACCAGTCACCGTCATCATCATTTTCGTCCTATCTTGAGTGGACTGTAAAAGAAAGTTCCCTCGCACTGGTCACCAATTCACTATACTTCGTGCGAGCCAATGTCCACAGATGTCTGTGAACTTTTTAATTTCTCTACCTTCATTGGCTAATGTTTCCCTATCCTGTGTCCATTTCATCACTCGTACAGACTATTGTCTATCTGAATTTTGCATTCGAATTGACCAAATCCTCTTATTTATCAACACATCAGCTAGAACACTCGCTACCGGCAAAGTCACTGATCCACTCTGCTCTCCGCGTGTCTCGTATGTCAAGCCAATCACTTTTTACTCCATTGCTCATTACTTTGTTCTCAACTCTTCTGAAATTTTTTTGTTATACTCCAAATTACCGTCCCATAGGTTGGTACTGAAAGCATACATTAATTGCATAAGTCTTTTTGGGGGGACAGTGGCAGATTGCTCATTTCGATTTAGGAAAGTCTGCTACAAGCATTCTAGCACGTCCTTATTACACAATGCATTAAAAAGCTTGTTCGACTCCAGTGTCAGGGGTTGCGAGCAAAAAATCTGCATTTTCATGAGCATAAATTTGAGACAGATGAAAGTAAAGAAATAAAGAAACTTGTGCTAGAGATGAAATTGAATTTGGGAATTCTATGTGGCTAGCAGGTATTTCACCACATAGCCAGCCTGTCCTCAACATTGTTTTGTAAAAAAAATGCTGAATGAATGTCATGCAGTGTAAGAAGCATTCTTAAAAGAGCAGTGAAACCAAATTTTCAACTTGAGATGTGGTGTTCCTTCGATTGTTTGGTATGCACGAGTTATTTTAGCGAAGTATGAACGGCGTCCGTCCCGTATAAGTTACGTATTCTATTTCGAGCACAAAGAGTGTTCAAAGGCTCAATAGTGTGTTCTTTGCCACGAGACATTGAGAGTACTTTGACGTGTTCAGTGAGTTCTAGGCCACGCCTCAATCACTAAGTGACGATGAGCGAGCAGTAATGACATCGACAACCTTAGTGTTGTCATTGCGGTCTCTACACGTGGTAACGTCTGGCTTCCTGGCAACGGCTCCACTTGCTTTGTTTTGTTTGCTTCGTGCAGCATGTTCGTGTGAATCCTGCATTTACGTTGTGCCGCTTTGGGTGATTTGTCGTGAAGTCGGGAGCACGAATGGGATTATTTGATGCTACGGTCATGGCAAAGAAGTAACACGCATGCAGCGTTGATATGTCTTATCAGCCAGCGTGGCCCAAGCGTGCGTCTTCAGCTGCTTTGTCGCTGCTTGGTCTGGCATTGATTTCAGAATCCCTAATTAGAGGAGGATCGACGCGAAAACGATTCGCAACGCCATGAACCACCGCAATTCCTCATTCCTCAGTGTTTCCATCGTCACTTGTGGACGTTTATGACAACGGCGACGACAATGGGGGTGGCGAAGACATGCCCATACACGTGCGCACCGAGCAGACCAAATGTCAACTGAAACTCACGTCACCATTTCATGCGGCCACGTGATCAGATGGGGCGGGATTGTGGAAGGTGATCGCTTGGCAGCGCTGACAATAGGCGGGCTTTGCACACGTCCTTAATTGGGTTTGATACTGGTCTTGCTAATTGATATTACATATATTAATTCATCCTTCTGTTGCATAATTAATACCAAATGGTTAATAGGGGATCGATAACTACGCGTTACCAAATGCAACATGCATCAAGTTGATGTCACTGCTCCTTTAACATGGGTAAAATTACGTGGCAGAAGCGTAGACACGCACTAGGCATCAAAACATGTGAATTGAGCAATGAGTGCTCGATTTATAAGGACACTCAAGTAAAACAGCGAGTACGTTCAAATGATCGAGTGCTCTCTGGGAACTTTAATGCCGTTAACTTCCCCATTGTAAGTTTATTATTAGAGGTGATAATCAGGGTCAAAGTTCTATTTTTGAAATTTTGCACCAAAATCCCATGTCAACCAAAATCCCCGTGACATCCGTGTCATCCCAGATGTCAAAATGTATTTGTCGTAGTTCGGAGACATTGGCTCAAATTTCCCGAAACTCGGTGCTAAGAGTATGGCCCGCTCAGAGGTCAATACAATTAATTTTTGCCAATTAGGAGCTACGTTGGCACTATGCGGCACTGTCAAAATCTATGGCATTAAGACGTTTGGTGCGAGAATTTCAAAATAACGTTGCCAAATGCATTTAATTTTTGTTTATTTTTATTTTCACTTACAAAGCATTTCTTTGCAGACAGCATGAGGAGATTAAAATTGTGTAAGGGTAGTTATCCCAAGGATAGGAAGATCATCTTTCCTTTTAATGTTCCTTTGAAGGACCACCAAATACAGAGTGTAAAGACATAACTAACTGCCATTATCGCCAACGACATCGACAGCATGTGCCGCTGCACAAGTGTGAACGTTGCCTTGCCGACACACAGTGGGTGCTTCGCCAATTCGCAAAAAAAAAAGGTTACGGCATAGTGAGCACTATACAACTGTACTTGCGGTAAGCGTTAGAAAATAGTTTGAAACTACCAATTTCGCTTTTTCCTTGCAGCACAGTTTAGACAGCCACAAAGAAGAGAAGCTAAACTAGCGCAAAGCCAAACTAGTGATTGAGAATGTGGTGCGAACTAGGCTAGATCACGCTATCTCATCTGGAAGGTAAAGCTCAAGCGTCCTCGAAGTTTTTTCTGTGGTCAATTTCGTTTCAACGAAGGGGCTCCCCTGTCAGTAGTCGGCCTATGCATACATTCTCATGTAGGAACTCAGCCGCAGCAAACGAAAAAGTAATAAAAAAAGCTTACACCTGTAACAGTGCCGGATGATGGCACTGTTGCAGCAGGCGGGCTGCTCGAGCTCAGAAGACGGCCATTCTCCCTCGCCCCTGCACAAGCACCAATGACGTGTCCCAGATCTGGAAGCTCGTCTTCGTTTTCGCTGTCCGAAATTCTGTGCACAGCATTTCGTTTCAGGGGGCTTGCTATCCCGTTCGGCAGAGTTGTCTTCTTATCTTGTTGGCGTATCGTCCCATTATGTGAACCAGTTTTCATGTCCTGTGAGCTCGTCCTCATACGCAGTGGGCTCACCTTCATCCTTGGTGGGCTATTAAGCACAAAAACAAAAAAAGTTAAGATAACGTGCATTGGTATTAAGTAGAACCAAGAGCATTTGTGCAAGACACATTTTGGTAATGTGAAATGTAAATTATGATAGCTCAAATATTAAAAAAATTTTGCCACAGCTGATCTTTGAAAAACCAACACAAAGCCTTGTAACAAATTTTGGCAACTACCTGAACGCAACAAAGCATCATTCAGCAAGTGCTTTACCAAAAGTAGTTTCCAAACTGATTTGTTATTGATGGAAATAGAAGAAGTTCAACTTTGCAGCTCATAAATACCACCAGGAAAATAGACAATCTCTACCATTGTGTCTCGACAGATACCTAAAAGTTGTGTTTATTCTCTACATTCTCTCACGTACTGGAACTGAAGGATTGTGTCATGTTCAAATCGATAGACCCGTCTATTTAGGTTTTTTTTTTTTGCCACGTTGCATGGTCCAAATTGAATTTTACAGAAGTCACATACCATGGTCAGCAATGTTCTGTGCAGTATGTATACATAGGCGTATCAGCCGGGAAGGCAAGGGGAGCGCAAGCACCCCACTGAGAAAAGTTGGGGGGGCTGAGCCCTCCCACTTTTGACAGTGGTCACTGTTCGCTGAACGCTGAAAAAAAAACCAACAACTAAGGCGAAGTCTTGCTTCATCACAGTGATCACTCCTTTATATTGTTACAAGGAAATGAAAATGTTACCAGGGGATGTTTTAATATAGTGAAAATTTTCCGAAATTTCTGCTGTGACGATTTTCTTTGAAGGCTCTTTGCGGTGCGATATCGATGCTACAACTGATGTCAACCGAACATGACGTGCTCCTGTATACAGTAGGAGTACATATGGAATGTTTATCTCCTTGTTATAAATTTAGATAGCTAGCATGGTAACCGGAATCACTTTGCACCGACTTGATATCTGCACAGTACCTTTACCAAGGCAGATTCAATACCTTGCATAGTCCTGTGATAGAATACATGACTGCCACACGAAATGCTGAATTTCGATTCCTTCTGGGATGCTTATTTGTATTCTTTGCACGCATTATATCAATGCTACCAATGCCAGATTTTTTAAAGGTTCTCGCGTTTCAATTAACAACATCTGTTGTCGCTGCTCCTAGGTAGATACAAACATTAAGGCGCATACCGGCATATCGCAGCCCGTGGTATAATGGTATGGGACACATGATCAAATGAGTTTCATGGGGTACACATGATTTTCGCGTTATGGCAGACACATACACATCTTCTCATACGTTCGTGCCCCCCCCCCCCATGCCGATTTCGGTCTATACTAAGTGACAAGGCAAATATGGGAGTATCAAGAATTAGCCAACCAGGTATGTAGATAAGTAGATATATACACTCATAACACCTTTGGTTCTCTAGGGATTGCCCTGCATTTAAAATTCAATTTCTTTGTGAGCTGCTTTCAGTCATTCAAAATTCCTTCAATGATGCAAATAAATATATACTCCTGGGGAGGCCGCCATCAACATAATTGTATTCATACGGAGAGTTGCGAGGCAATGCATAAAAGGCATAAAACACACTATACGTGTCCTTTTTTTACGCTATTCAACAAGCGCTGTGTGTAAGAAAAATCACAACAAAGTACAATTGCATTGATAAGTTGCACAGGTGATGAAGCTACACAGGCGCACATACCTAAATTACACATGTGGTAACAATATATATTCCAGATGACGAGTGAGGTAGGTTGTTTGCCCCTCCCCCCGCACGAAAGAGTTGGTACACCACTGTATGTACATCCGAGCTCTACTCACTATCACACCCCATCTTTCTCGACAAGAGGGGCATGCATATTTTTGTTCTTGATTTTGACCGTTTTTTGCCCGACAGAGTTATTTTGTACTTTGCCGGCATGAATGCCACTGCGCTATTTACACAATGTGTTCGTTCGCTTGCAATCTCCGAATTTGGTGAGGAAGTTAAATGGAACAGATGTGAATTTTGCCCACATGGAGTACTAAGCATAGCTTGATATTCAGCGGAACTATGGTGGGCAAGTTTTACATGTGCCTCAACCCCACAAATACAAGGTTATCTGTTGTGCCTGCTTGATTTGTATATGCTTCTTCTTGGTATATATTTCGTTCATGTTTTAATAAACTGTTGGAAGTATTTCCACATTAGATGTGCATGGTCCATTCAGATTTGTTTTTTGTATTACACACTTTTTAAGTTTAAGTTGACATTGAGAATATGTCAAGTCCGTTTTTTGTTCTGCTTTCCAAAACCAAAAAAAGCCTCACGATGTTAAGCCTTAATATAATGGACATGGATACCACGAACCAATGCATATAATGAATGAAATCCATGAAAGAATTTTTTTATGTTACGATGAATGTCATACTCAACAATGACATTTTCTTGTTGGGAAATATTGCTTTCAATGAAGTGCTATTGCAAATCACTATCTATTGGTCGTGTTCCATATTATGTCGAGAATAAACGTTCATGCCAACCTGTTGCTGGCGGGTTGCAGCTCCTGCCGTGCCTGCAGCCGGGCCCACAGCGGTGGAAGGTCCTCATCGTCGCTGTCCCATAGGCTACCGCGTCGCACCTCACATTCAGGGGTGCTGCTCCTTGCACTGTATTCACTAAAAAAAAGAAGGCAGAATAACATCCAGCAGTATGTCTAAGTGAGTACATCAGGAGACAGTGCACAGCTGCATGTTGATAACTTGCAAGAAATGCGAAGACCATATAATTATGGGGTGATTAACCTGCTCTAGTTTGTTAATGATGATGCTGGAACGTTATTGGGCCTCTGCGCATGAATAACAAAGGCACCGGCATGCAAAGTATTGATAGCATTAACGTTACGTCACAAAGTCCACATCCCATCATGTTGATGCTCTCGCATGGTTGTTTCAGTGACATCAGTGCAAGCCATCTATTGTAACAGCACAATAACACAAACATGATCATGAGTGAGAACTCACCCCTACTAAGTTGGATTCCCGCTAAGTAAAAACTTCAGCAAGTTAGCACATATCGTACGAGGAATAATTTAATATACAAGCACTAGAAAAAAAGACAATGGTACTTTACACAAAACAAGTTTATGTGACCACTCAACTGATGTAGGGCTTTCGAAGCTTTGTACTCACTAAAACGCATATCGTGCGGACAAGTTGAAGCTTAATCAGGCAAAGGGTAGCTTCAGGCGAGCCTCTTTAAACATAGGGTTTAGAAGGAAATCCTTTCCATTACCAAAGCGGGCAGTTAGCGGCGGTGAATGTCTGAAAATAACAGTCGAGCTCATAAGTCGATTCGGGGTGGCTCACTAATTACGTTTGTATTAATTACTTTACGGCAGATATCGCAACTAGCCAATTATATTCGTAAGGTCACAAGTCGGATCGATCTTTACTAGCTTACAGGGTTACACAAATTATGAGATATTCATTCGGAAAGTGTGCAGGCAAACAACCAGGAGCTCAGGTTACGTCATGCTTTTACTGCACGCACCACACCCCGCTACAAAAGTAACGAACAATTGCGCAACAGAACGTAACTCTACCACCACCCGTGTTATCAAACGTACACTCGCAGAGAATGTTTGTTTAGTGTTCGCACGACAAATCAAAGCAGAATCAAATCATTCTACGTTCGTTGTTTAGAAGCGAACTACCTTGTTCGCCGGGGTGCATCAGCCGGAGTTGAACTCATCACCGTTTCCTTGGCGAGACGTTCACTTTCTAGTGACGATTCTTGACGGCGTTTTGACGGCGGGCCCTCCACGTGGAGGTCTTCGCAATCATTTATTTCTTCGCCATCACTGCATAAATCGACAACCGCCACCGCACAGCCGTTGCGCGAACCGTCTCGCGCTGGAGCAGTAGAGGGCTGGCTGCTTGGTTCCTCACTTGCTTGGCACAATCCACCCTCCCGCGAGCCGCAATCCATTTCGTCATCACCGTCCGAGTCGAGGATTATGCATGCCGTGGCCATGGTTCGCTTGGTTTATACCAGCTAACGGCCACCGATCAAGAACGTTAATCGGATGCGCGGACGAAAACTTGATCCAAGCAGCCCGCCATTACGAACGCTAAAACGCAGCTACGAAAAAGACACCCAAACAAACAAAATGCCTAAAAAAACGTTAAGTTTTGAAAATTATTTTTTTCACCTGAATTATTACTTTTAAGTATTGCTTCATTTTGAGAATTTTAGTTCTAATTGCAATACTTGTGTCTAAGTTTGTTACGTTTGTTTCCCGTTTTCTTTCTCCTGACCTTCAAGATGGCGGCGGCGCTGCAGCGCATTGTTTCCTCGCTGCCTGCGAGGGGACCGCTACTAGGTAACTATTGGCTCTGTTTACTTCTGACGTTCCTTCTTTACCCGTGCACCGGTCGAATGTCGAGCGACCGGAAAAGGGGCGAGGCACTGTAGTCTTCTCCGATCGTTCCTTCGCTTTCGGCACCGCGATGGGGAAACGAGACACGCGGTACGCGTTCATGAACCCGATCGCGATGGCGCGTCTTCGCGGGCCCTCCGGTCCGAGTGGGCCGACCATCAAGGACTACCTGAGCCGCAACCGTCCCACCTGGGAAGAGGTGAAGCGGATCATCGAGAAGAAGAAGCAGGGCTCCAGCACGCTGGCCGCGTGGGAGGAACACCTCAACAGCAAGTTCGAAGAGGAACTGCGCAAAAACCGCGAGCGAGTCATGGCGGAACGCGCTTCCACTTCAAACGCCGGCGCTTCGTCGTGCTCAAAGAGCAAGAAAAGACGTCGCAGGTCGTCTTCGTCGTCCTCTTCTTCCTCGTCGTCGACTTCGACGACGTCGAGAAGCAGGAGCAGCAGCCCGGCTCAGTCGTCGAGCGCGTCGGAGGGCAGTCGTCACGACTCCGAGCACCGCAAGCGAAAGAAGCGGCGGCACAAGCACAGAAGCAAACATTGCTCGAAGTCGTCCTCGGGTAACAAGGAAGAACACCCCGCGACTGCTTCCGAGGAGAGAACCTGCGAACGGGACCACTCGAAGAAGAAGAGAAAGAAGTCCAAAAAGAAACACAAGAGGCACAAGAAGGAGAAAGCGGAGTGATTAAAATCAAAGTCGTGGTGCAATCGTTTCTCTTTTTTCAGCTAGGGACACGTGAGAGCGACTTTTGACCATCAGAACGTCCCGAGGTTTCTTTTAAAAGATTTAGACCATGGTGCTGAAAGTGCCGAGAAAGGAGTGGCCTCTGTGATGCTAGTTGCTTGAGCGACGAATGTGTTACAAAAAGCGACGTGTCGCATGACTGCACAGACGCTTCGTTATCGACGACAGCGAGGAACGATGGTGAACTACAAGCGTTGCGTCTGTGTCGTGCATGAAATGTACCAGGCGCACAGCTGTTCCTATGCCGCCCCGGTGAATTGTAAGAGAGACTGCAGATGTCTAGATGAGCTATTATATGAGGGTTTAAATCTTGGCTCGCGAACGTGCGCCGGCCTGAAAGAACTTAGATGTGCTAACTGGGTGCCGGAAATTACCAACCGTCTCGACGCCTATCGAACGCGTGCAGAATCGTGCACCTTTGATCGTCAACCAAAATTGGGAAACTGATGAGACATCAATAGACCGTTCCGTTAACGGCGGGTATAGAAATTTGGGTGATATACGGTCTTATGTACACGCACATTCTGCTCAGTTTTACTTGTTCGTGAGAAAAGAAGCGTTCAGCAATTGTCACACGCTGCACTCTCGATCGGGATTGAAAATTGTTATTGGTTCATTTATGCAGACTGTAAGCGGAGCCCAATTCCTGTCGGCAAGTTCAATTGCCATCAGACCCCCCCCCCCCCCCCCCCCGATTTAGACTGAATCACTCCACTGATAGTAATATGAACCATGAGAGTAAAATAACTAGAAGAATAAGGATGGGGTAGAGCACATTCGGCAAGCGTTCTGAAATCATGAGTGGTAGTATAGCACTATTCTTCAAGAAGAGCCCCGCTGCGGTGTTCTATTGGCTAAGGTGCTCGGCTGCTGATCCGCAGGTCGCGGGATCAAATCCAGGCTGTGGCGGCTGCATTTTCGATGGAGGCAAAAGTGATGTAGGGTTGTGTGCTCACATTTGGGTGCACGTTAAAGAACACCACGTGGTCCTAATTTCCAGAGCCCTCTACTACGACGTCTCTCATTCGAATGGTGGTTTTGGGATGTTAAACACCACATATCAATCTCTGGAAGAAAATTTATAACAGCTGTATCTTGCCGGTACCTACCTACAGAGCAGACACCTGAAGGTTTACAAAAAGAGTTCAACTTAAATTTAAAATGACGCAGCAAGCTATGGAAAGAAAAGTTATAGGTGTTGCATTAAGAGACAGGAGAAAAGCAGAGCGGGTCAGGGAACAGTGGGGTTAAGGATATCACAGTTGAAATGAAGAAGGCATAGACATAAGCCAGGCACATAAAGCGTAAGCAGGACAATCGCTAGGCATTAGGGGTAACTGACAACTCGAAGAAAAGGCAAACACCTGAGGAGGAGATTTAAAAGTTTCTAGGTTTAATGTGGCAGCAGGAAGCACCGGGCTAGGTTGAATGGCAGAACATCGGAGAGTTCTTTGTCCTGCAATGAACATAGACTACTCATAATGATGACTCAACTGGCATTAATTTCATTTTACATCTTGTGCTAATAAGTCAATTGTAGTTAAGAAACTTTTAATGCAATAGCTTCAAGGAGCTCGTTTTGCAGAAATGTCGGTGTCCTTGATTGTGAGCGAAAAATCATCTTTACGTGACTGAAAAATCGAAAAAGCTGCAAATAAAAAAAATACTGGGTGCCAGTGGAGATCGAACTCGGATCTTTTGGGTGTCAAGTGGGTGTTCTACCACACAGCCATGCCTCTGCTTCTGAATACAATGAAGATAACTTCCTTTGCTTGGAAATGCAGCGAAAGTTACTTTCATGCTTTACAAACACACGTGTGCTCTCATGCGTTACAAACACAAAATCAACTATTGCCATGATAATGCGTGGTACAGGCATACATTGCCATGGCGCGTCGGAACATGGAATTATCATAATGACTTCATAGTTTATAAAGCCAGTCACCCACTACAAAAGGCACACACGCTACTGCACCATCAAGGCCACGTAGCGGGTGCATAGCAAGTTCGAGAAGATTTCATACACTAAGTCTTCGAAGTATGCACTAGAAACAGAATATCGCTGTTGCATTCAACTCTTAAAGGTGAGGTGAAGCTTAAGGGTCTCCCAATTTTTATCAGAATCATACTGTGTGGCACTTGGCACTCATGTTATTATTCTTTTATTGTGTTTAGTTTTCTTAGCTCTCATAATTGCGACTACATTTGAAAAATTCAAGTAACGCCCATGTGCTTGAGCTAGTTGAGTTTTGCTGTGTCTATTTTGCATCTCACTAAGCTCTGTATTCTTTTCTCGTTATGAAAGCTTTCCCTCCTAAATACAGCTACTGATGTCTAGGAGGATTGATTCTGCATCTCATACCCTCTTCTATTTGCTGCCAGCACTTAGAAACACCTCTTGCTAATCTCAACAGTGGACCAAGCTCCCATCAGCTTTGCATGCCAACACTTCTGGAAGCATGGGTTTTTGCCTGTCTTGGCTGGATGAATGCCTTTGTCACGGCACCACATGTGCCGAGACCACAATGTGCTAACGTTTGTCTCGTAAAAGCTGTGGTTGCCGTAGAAACTACAACTTCGAGCTGAGCATGCCTGGGGCAGTCATCTCGGTCTGTCGCTATCAGTGACGCCTTCGCAAGATTTCTTGAGGTATTCACGTGATGACGTCATCTGCGAGGAACACTAGTGCAGCGTCGCTATACCCATGGTCTCGCGCGAATCGGACTTCAATCAAAGTTCTCGTCAGCACGTGTTATGCTGATATTTTTTTCTGAGAAAACGACGTAGTAAATTGAAGGGCCACTAAACTTCAAACTGTCACATGCTAAATTGCTGAATGATAATGGCTATGGCGATGCCTGGAAGGAAGCAGGCAGTGAATACCACCTTTAGTCAGTTACATTCTAAAAAATATTGTTAGCTTGCCCACTAAACCATTGTGCACTTTCCCTTCACCTGTGAAATATGGATGTACTAGGTCACTTCCACTCAAATTATAATTATAGCTTATGTAGTACCACATACAATATCAACTAAAATATTACATCACCTAAAATATTGCATGTGGCTGAGCAGCAATGTCATAGACCGTGACAAAATTAACCAGGACGTTCAAGTGTTGACCTGAAGTAAGCAACACCAATGTGTGTCAGTTTTGAAAAGTCAACTATCTGAAACACTTGAAAACTGCTTGATGTTACGAAAACGAGTAAGTGCTATTGGTTAAAACATGTATGCAAATTATCTGGGAGGAAAAGCAAGGAGTGGGTGAAGCTAGAATTCTTAGGTTTTACTCGAGCCATATATGCGTAGAACCTACGGGTCACGGCAGTCTGGCATGGTGCCATCTGTGATAAGACGGCGTGCAAGAAAAGGCGTTTGTAGATGCGACGCATCTGGCGATAACCTTGTGAAATCACGCAGAAGGAAAGGTTGACAGGTAGGGATCGCCCGAGATTATCGCCACTGATAACAATGGTGTGTGGTTACCCACGACTGGTACACTACTGTTATCGAGTTCCACGGCCCTTGTGGGACCATTTGGGTGAAGCGTAACTGCGATTTCGTGCCATTTTGCTCATATTTTCGAGGTTCCTTTGCCAATGACTCGAGCTTGTGTGCATCACTGCAATTCATTTTGACACACTCAGAACATATCTCAAGCAACAGTGGCAGCCTTGAAAAAGTTTGCCTGACCACTCAGAGGGTGCGTAAGCACATTGCTTTCTCACCGGAGGTATCCCAACTGTAGTTGCATGTGGGCAAAGAGACGCTGCAGTGTTGAGTGATGTACAGGTGGGTACACTGTTAAAGGGAACAATCGCATGCATGGCCTGTTTGGATTTTATTCTTATTCAAAAGCGTAGGAGCTTACATTTGCATAGGACTACCGGTGATTGACAGTTCTTACTCCTTGCGACAGAGTAGTACCATAAGTGAGCATTGTTTATCCACTTGCTGTGAGTGCTGCCATTATGAACACTACTCATTGTAGTGTTCAACTTTGACAGGGGGCCTTACTGCACATGCTAGTCACAAAAGCACTTATGGTGCAGGCATGTGCATTCAAATTGAAGTTGTTTCCAGTTGTGCAAGGGGAAGCTGTGGGCATTTTTTGAACCCAGAGCTTTCTGCTGGTTCTGTGAAATGAAAACGGCAATGAAAAGCACCAAAAATTACAAATAGAGTTCTCGCTCATGTCACATTTCAAATCAGGATGTCAGTGTAGAGTCATGTTTTTTAGACTAAATAGTATGCTAAAAAATTGTACACGCGCATATAGAGGATGACGGGGCGCATGGGCATGCACACGAAAAGAGCAGTGGAGGAAATGCGCCGCCCCCCCCCTGAACACCTGCAAAGGGGCAATGCAGGGTCTGCACTATGCGTTGATCTGCACTGTGCATGCTTATGAGTGAGCATGAGAGTTCAGTGTATCGTGTTGTACTCGATACGGCTGTGGTAGTTTGGCAGGCAACGTGTTGTGCTGCTGAGCATAGGTACGCGGGTTCGATTCCTATGCCTGGACGGTCTTGTTTCAGTAGGGGAGAATGCAATGACGACGGTCTACTTATAAATAGGTGCATGTTTAAGAGCTCCAGGTGGTCGAACTCAATGTGGACTCCCCCATAATAATGTGACCCATGGCTGTACCATTGTTTTGGATCGTGAAACCAAAGAATTTAATTTTCATGTTCTGCTCGGCAAGGAATTGTTAGGCCAGCTTAACACTGTTGGGGCCCTGCTTCATTACCCAAGCCCCTCTGAACACACTTGTTGTATGCAATTTGTGTATTATGGAACCTCTACCACCAATCATACGCTAATTCCTTTAAAACAAGATCAAAACAATACTGAGCTCAATATCTGCACCTCAGCAAAATATCTTCTGCAAAAATATTGAGAGCTGCTTTTATATGACACTTAACCACAAGGCATATTACAGGTAGAAGAAATGGGTTTAAAGGGACATTTAAGTGAAACAATGAATCAATTTAAATCTGCAACATCTCAGCAAGTTGGTGTGGGAGCTTCAAAGTGGTGTCATCACATGCATCTTCTTTTTCCATATTTTCTTGCTTGCCAAGCTTATTTTTGGCAAGGATTCTAGTTTTTTTATTGTGTAAGGGTAATTTGCTAATACAGAGGAAATCGCATTTTTCTTTTGTATCCCCTTAAGTGTACAGGTGATATGACCCAAAATTTAGATTTCTCAGCTCCCACAAAAGGCCCATGACAGAACACAGCCACCATCTAATCAACTGATAGCGTTGGCTTAATGTTATCCCAAGGCTCACTGGTACATGTCATCAAATGTGAATGAAACTCGAATAGAGGGTCTGTGGAAAATCACACAAGCTGCCTTTGGCGTCTTATGTATGCTTAATGCATCTTTGTAGGCCCACTGGGCATGCTTTGCCATTGAATAACTTGCATCAAACCTTATTTTATGGATCACACATTTATGCAATAAGCTGCACTGTTGTGCACAGCTGTAGCGTAAGTAGTAAGGTTTGGGGCATAATAAGAGGCTAGTAGATCAAAGGTACGTGGGTGATGCAATACAACACTACTATGTCAGAGAAGACCATTGGCACATTTATTCAGTGACAAACTTTCTTGCAGCGAAAAGGGATTCATAAAGTTGACTGATGACCGACTACATGGCATGTCTCTACCGTGCAAACAAACGTTAAACCCACTGCTGTGGTCATGTGTTATGGTGTTCGAATGCTAGCCTGAAAGTAGCGGTATTGAATCCCAGCAGTGGCAGCTGAATTTTGATAGAGGCAAAATTCAACATGCCTAGGTGCTTAAATTTAGGTTCATGAGAACCTCGGGTGGTTGAAACATCTGGAGCCCACCTCTAAGACATACCTCTTAATTCTATTGTAGCTTTAGAATGCAGAACCGTAGCTAGTATTAAGCTTCAAAAACCGCATGTGACAATGTGTCGAAGTTTCTACCTATAAATTGTTTGCTTTCAAATTTTGTAACATTTATCTGATCACTGAGAGTGAATACCATCCAAAGCTCTCCATGCACTTCTGCAGTTTGGCTGTGTGACTCACTTTGAAGAGATGTTCAACATAAAGTGGTCTATATTGTCAATTGGTGCTCACTTATGATCGCATATGCTCTCATCTTGTGATTTTACATTGCTTCTTTGTAAAAACTTGGAATGCCCTTGGACGAGCTATGGTGTGAGAGGAATGCGTGAGAACGGAAATGTTCCAATTCCTGAAATAAACTGGTTGCTGTTTGAAAAGAACTTGTTCTCAGGCTAGATTGTTCAACATGATATTTCTCTCACTAAGTACTGTGGTGGGGAGAGGGGTTTACTCAATGGGCCCAAGTCATCATATACTCAAGACAGCCTAAGTAGGCAGATGTTTGTATTGGACAAGGACATTAAACCTAAAAGAAAAATTGCAGTGGTACAAAGTTCACAAGATAAAAAGTCTACAATAAATTCGTCCCCTGTTAGATGGAAGTCTCAGTCTTAATACTCAACGCAGTTCACTCGCGCTGTAATGAGTTCTCGGCGACAGCACCCACGCAACCTCTCGTTGCGATGACCACAGCACTGAGCAACATGGCGTAGAGTTCGTCGCTGTAGCATCCCTAGTACGTACACGCCTTGTCGTGTCCCTCGCTGGCTCAAGCTCGATGACTCTGTGCTGCACCAAAACGTCTTGCTGACGTCCAGGTCATGCTCGACCGAAGCGAGGGCCCTGGGCACGAAGTTCACAGCCTCGACAACAATCAAAGCTGGCCACGCACACGCTCCAAACACCAGTCTTCTTTCTTCACTTCTCTCAGTCAGTAGTGCACTCCGATTTTGCCCCTATGGCGCACTCATCACAACCATCACAGTACGTAATGCGAAAGAATGGGTTAGTCGCCTAAAATTTTTGGTACATGCATTGAATGTGTGCTTGTATGCAATTACTATATAGGCACCTGTGACGTAGTGTCAGTTTTGGGCCCAAGACATATACGCTTCGGTACTCAGTACATGAAGCATCTAAGCCATCATCTTGATCATAATCTGTACTGCCGTCTTCCTATCTGTTGGGGCACATCATTTTCTGTACCACTTCAACATCAAAACGGGGCTTAACGCGTCGATTTAGAGGAAAAGCAACAGGCCGGTGATTCTAACACCACGCGCTAGCTACTTCCTCTTCATTTTCCTTTGTGCCTTCTATGAAGAGCTTATACATATTTGCATTGTCTACTCTCGCGGTATGCGTGCGGCAATATTTGCACCTCTGCAGCCAAACCTCTCAAAAACTCATTAATATGATTATTGCTCTCTTTTTTCTTTCAAATCATTAGGAATCCCTTTTTTCAAAACATGGTGCCGGTGCCATCCTTTTTGCTGAGTTTACTTCAGAACACTCTTCATAAGTGCCTCAGTTTTCTTTTATTGAAGACAAAAAAGGGTGTGGTATGGGCTACACACACTTCTGTACCATTGTAGACCCTACTATGTATGTTCCACTGGCTTTTGCTTCGGTTACTTAAGTTTAGAAAGTTTTCTCTTTTTCAGAATTGTACTAAACTGTCGATTCAGTTGGCATACTTTAACCGCCTTAGCCACATTGTAAAATTGCGCTGTGATGTTTCGCCATCGAACTTTTATCTCTACAAAACTGGTTTGAGGCTTCCCTTCCTGCATTATGTCCAGAAATAAATATATCAAAACCACCGCAAGTTTTAACTTGACCAACCATAAGTTTAAAAGTCATGGATAAAAAATTACTTAGGAATTTTATTCCAAGGATTAGGTGTTCCTGTAAATTCTCTAAACATTCTTTTCTTCGAGGCCTCCATATAGGGCTTTAGACATGGGAACGCTTACACACCTATCAGCAAGCATTGCTCTGCCTCTTTTACTACTCACTCCCGCATATCACAACTTGCGTCTCTTTGTCAAATCTCATGGTGAATCGCCACTCCATGCACTGCATTGCAAGATGCCCCAAGAAAGCTTTTGTAGCACTGTAGTGCTTTACCTTGACTCTTCGATTGTCTCGTTCCCTACACTGGAAATTGCTATATTTACTAGTTTTTTTTTCCAGATTTCTGCTACCAAAAGTCGACCTTCACGTTACAATCGAGCAAATACGATACCATCATGTCAACCCAACTAGTGCAATGCATCCTTGTTCTCGTGTTGAGACTACATTCAAACTTTGGACATGCGTGGAGGGGAAGCATTCTAAAACAATAGTGTTTCTTGATCTACTGCACTTGATCATTGTTTTAACATATATACTAGGTAACTTCTTATGCTTAGTAAAAATATGCATTGCACAGAAAAACAAAAAGCACCGCATGTATCTGTGATATAGGGCGATTGCCCATAGGCCATTGTCTCATCCGAGAAAAAGTTCGGCAACATTAAAAAAGGTTGCAATCCTCGAGTCACGATGGTCTCTGTTAAAATGAGCCCTGTAACACTGCTCCAAGTAATCATAAAATGGCTTCACTAAAGGAGTTTATTGCCACACGAATCGGTTGCTGCAAAAATATTTAGAATCAGTAGAGTATGAGAGGAGTTAAAAATATTTGTCGCATGCTGTGATTTCTGTGTATCTTCTCTCATCCCGGCGAGTGCACTGAAAGTTAAGCGGTGAGGGTTGGTACTGAGGAAAGCGGTCGCATCTCGCGTGCTTCACGACCTTGAGCGTCCTTTCTTTTTCCTCATGGTAGACTACTTCACCACGTCTCGCCGACTGAGCACTCTTACATTTGCGAGTATTGTGATGTCCCAGACACCATACGTCATATGATATGGAGATGCATGCTAAACCATAGCACCGCTACACTAATGGAGCAGCAGTGGGAGGCCAAGTTATTGCACCCAGACCTGAAGAATTAGCTGAAGCCTGGTTCAACATGCGCGAGAGATAGCGATGGCCCACAGCTACCTGGAATGACGAGGCCACCCACTGTGGATACACAGTGCATTTGCGCACAATAAACGTTTATTCTCTCTCTTACTGAACGTGCAGCATACCTTTCGATGTGATTGCGAGTGCGGGCTTCTGGCAGCCTCTCACGGCGGCCGCCGGAACTAAGCAGCACACACTGCTCGCGGCAGCAAGTGGACTTGAATTTTTGTTTATGGCATCGTTATTTGGATATCATTTGTAGAAAGAAGTGGGCAGTATTTCTATCTGACCTTGAAAAATTATTCTAAATTCCAGGCTGCATGCTACACTATAATGCTTGGCTGGACTGTTCATAGGAGCTTCCGAATACAGATTGGCGGCATTTTCTTACCACACTGAAAAAGTGTTGCAGGGCCCCCTTAAGATGACTAGGACATTGTAATGTTAAAATTGAAAGCTGACAACATGAAAGATGTAGGTGCTACACAAGTTTCATTTTGAATACAGAACATAAACGCGAAAAAATGGCACACCAGTGGCAAGCACAAAACGCAATAACACCACCTAGTGGTCATTTTTTTCCTCTTCCTGATTTCTGTTCCTGTTCACTTGTACTGTTTTACACATAAGAATGAACCTCAACCAGCTTGGCCACGTTGCTTCCGTGCTAGATGGGTGACAGAAATTAATAAGGGTGAAGTTGGGTACTTTGACAGATACAAAAAGGTTGGAAATTTCGATGGTGCTTTGAAACCCTGCTTTGTGATACTTCAGACATCCGGTGTCGCAAAAGAAAAGCAAGCCCTGTTTGTCCCTCTCTCAAATTAAATCGCTTTTCAGAAGGAAGGCTCCGTTCCCGGTAACTATTACACATCGACCTTCTCGACTTGAAACAGCCAGCAGTGCATTGTGTGACAACTGTGGTCATGGAGGAAACTGTTTAGCTCATTTTTTGTGTGTGTGTGACAGCCATCACTGTAATACAATCGCACTAGCTCGTTTTAATGGAAGACCACTATTCGAGAAAACCATTCTGAAATGCAGGCATTATAAGTTTTTGCAGCTGTCGGCAGCAGAAACATCAATGCCCTTTTTTATTAATGGTAAACGCACCAAAAAAATGCATAAAGGACGCTTTAAGATTTCAGGCCAACTGTCTGCCCTATAATTTGTGGACCGTGAAAGCCTGAATTGGCTTTCACGGTCCACAAATTATAGCGCAGACAGTTGGCCTGAACTCTCAAAGCGTCCTTTATGCATTCGTCTAAGACGACTCGAATAAAAAGCTATTTTCTTTCAATTCTCAGTCGATGCACGCTCAAACGTCAATATAACAAACCTGGATATAACGAATTATTGGTTATAACAAAGTAATTTAAGTATAGCTCTGTCATAGATACAGTGCTGCAAATATATGTTTATAACCAATTTCCGGATATAACAAAATATTTTCGTGGCAAGTTCAAGTTTGTTATAATGAGATTTGATTGTATTCATTCTCTCCTACCCACTACCGAAAGCTTTATGCACCTAGTATAGTTTTGCACGGCGTCCAGGATTGAAGGCATTGCAAGCTTTCCGTACCTCGCCCGGTTTCTCACTGCCTCCCTGATTGGCCCACGTTTTACCAAGCAATGATGTCGTGTGGTGATGTCGCATAATCTGGTGATCAGTGATGCCATGTGGTGATGCTGTCATATGACGATGTTTTTATGCATCACTCATGTTGACACTGCTGACGCCGATGGTCAATGTTCGCGTTTGACGAGGCATCTAAGGATTTCCTCTTTATAGTGACACAATGTGAGTGTGTGTGTGTGCTGTCTATTTAACTCTCTACTTTCAAGCTGCCCAGGCCCAGGTAGGATAGCAAACTGAATTTTTTTCTTCTCGTTAAGCCTTTCTGTCATTACCCCATTTTTATATTTTTTGCTCCCTTGCTTAACGTGCTAACCCTTAACTTTTAAACTTATTTCATATCTGACTGTCTCTTTTATGGTTTGCAAGCCTAACACGTGTAACATTACCTTGGGCCAATGCTGTCATGGTCATATGTCAACCTGACCTTTCTTGCAGCATCAGTCGGAGTGCCCGGCACCAGTGTAGTGCAGCTCCAGTGCGTGCGAGGTGCTGCCAAGGGTAACCGTGCCTGCCGCCAGGGTCCCACGGCAAGAGGCCAGAAGCTGAATGTCTACATTCACAATGGCATGATTGCGCACAAAGGAGACGTGATTGTCAAACAGAACCGACTTAGGTTTCACCCGGGACTAAATGTGAGAACCTCATTTGAACAGCACATAATGCTTTCATTGTTTAGTTATCTAAACACATGGTTCTATTATACTGATATACTTTGCAGACACAGAGCACATAACAATCAATTAGAAAAAACAGTACAGCTATTGTTAAAATGTGAAATGCCCAGAAGTCAGGACTTCGTATTATCATTTGTCTAGCCATTGTGACTTCAGAAACATCATTGGTAACTGGTTGATTTAGTTATTGGTTCATTCATTCATACATTAAAACTCCAGGAAATCGGGACTAAAATTGTCATTTTTCTAGCTAGATGACCTGAGTAGCAGTCCAGTGATTGATTGGTCGATTGATTGATTTATTGATTCATTCATTCGTTGAGTGAGTGGGAAATTCCAAGAATTAGGTATATTTGCATTTGTCTAACCATGTCAGTTTGCAGAATGCCTGGCAATTGATCAGTCTGTTGTTCAATTGATTCGATCAGATTTATCATTCCCCAGTCACAGAGGAAATTTTGAGTAACTAAAGCACGTCTACAGACCCTGGATTCATCAGCATTAAGGCTGGGCAAACAGTAAATTTTACACTCAAATCGGATAGTGATTCAGTTGAATAATTTCAGATTGAATTGTGTATGTCACATATTATGAAGAAAAATGAGCATTCTTTATAATTTGTGACATACACAATTCACTTCAAAATTGTTCGACCAAATCACTATTGCACAGCCAACTTGCACATATTTTTAAGTACTATAACTGGGCTGTTGCAAATGTTTTTTTTTTTTTTTTTGAAGTACAGTGGGTGCAATTTCGAATTGCAACAGATGTGAATAAAAGTAGTGTGCAAGTTAAAAGCCAAAAAATGTGAGGTTTTGAAATTTGCTCTACTTAGCACATACAAGCCCGTATAACACTTTTAAACTGCAAAAAAACTGGGGGAGAGGATGAATTCAAATGTAGCTTCACAGCAGTGCAAATTGCCTTTGAATAGCCAGTTTACAGCATTGCTGTGCCACACTCCAGGGAGATCACCTTTTCGGGGGGGGAAGGGGGGCATTGCATGTAGTGAATTACTTCGTTTAGAATTCCTAGAAATATAAGAAACTTTAGGTTCATATTGTAGTGGATTCTATACTGTAATATTTCTTTGAATATTCAGATTACTCAAATATTTGTGCATGTCTGATCGTAATCTGGCCGAGCATTGCGACGAATGTTTGGCATTAAATTTCTTGAGAAGTCTGAATTTTTCTGGCGCTAGTAAAGTGCGTTGACATCTTTACCTGTGTCCCAGAGAGGGCTTTGCTTCTGCTGTCACAAAACATTCCAACAATGTGGTCATAGTAGATATGGGCGAATATTCGGGCACTTTGAATATTAGAAAAATTGACCCACTATTCGCATTTGCTTTGACACAAATTCAAATTATTCTGAATGAAGGAATACATGTGTAATTAAGCACATATAATTTTCTGTAAAAATGGTTGCACCACAGTATAGGGGTGCTATTCCATGAAACTACCTATACAGGTAATCTCCACACTGTTGCGAGATCGCAGTTCATTGTTAAATGCACTTATTACCTCCACTTCAGTTGATCTTTTTTTTTTTTTTTTAAGTTGAAAGAGCCAATCAACAGACTCCAATTTTTTTTACACTCCTCAAAGAAGCTTGGCAATTCGTAGAAAAGACCGCAGCGATGACGTTTACCAAATATTAGAGCACCACACAGAGCTTCCATTTCGAGAAACGATTCCCGCGCTCCTTTTTGTACTTCTGACCAATCTTCCTTTCACACACAGTGATGCAAAGTTGCGGATCAGCGACTTGACACAGCACACAGCTCGTCGATTGGTCCAAACCAGTCACGACGACTGGCTACGCCTTCCCCTCCCTGTGATGGGGTAGGGTGGCGAGGCCGCGCAAAAATTTGAAACCAGTTGAAACCGATGTTCTACCCCTGTAACTTCTTTAATATACCACGTATTTGCAAAATTCTTTCAGCAACATGTTCACAAAACACAAGCGCCCATATTTCTTTATAACAATTTTTGGACATCGAGGTTGTTTACTGGCCCTTTAAAGTTGGACGGAGATTTTAAAACGTACAATATAGTATCAGCTATAACTTGCTTTTTGTTGTTACGCATATCTTGCTACTATTCAAAGTTGCTTCCACTGAACATCAAACAAAAAAGTTTCATTCACACAGGCCTACTTCCAATTCTTGAAAATATTGTACAAGTTGGTTTGTTCATGACAAAAATGGTGATTTTTCTTTATAATATTCTGTCTATGAAATTCGTACTCTTTGTTTTGAAGTTATTTAACCAAGTCACGATGAGCTTTGAATTCGCTTCGCAACGTAGAACTTGCTTACTATTTGCCCATCCCTAGTTGATAGGATATGTTGTTTTTTTAGATTTTTTGCATCACCAGTGCAATGCATTCATATGGTTCAGATATACTGATCTTCTGCTAGCACCCTCGTTCAACAGAGTTGGTAAGACACTCGGCTTCAAAGCATGGGATTCCAGGTTCGAAACCCAACGCCTCGCATGCATGCAGGTGGTGTTTGGGCACACTCGACAGACACTGATCGCCGCCGTTGAGGGACGCGTCATGCTGACGCGAGAGAAGGTGGACCTGGACTTCAGCCACCCGCGCGTGCAGAAGTTCTACGAAGGGCGAAACACGGAGGCCCTGTACAAGAAGTACTTCCACGTCATTCCCGAACCCCAGGGACAGACGTTCCGGCTCGTTTCGCAGATCTAGAAATTTTGTGGCAAACTATTAGAGCGTTCAAAGAATAAATACGTCTAGTGCAACATGCATTGTGTGTGTTTATCTGCTTGACATCATTATTGGTATATTTAAAAAAATTACAAAGGAGTACACTCATCTTGCCATGGCAGCCATTTTGTTTGTATAGATATACATGTTTTTATTTACACAATTCAAGTCAACCAGTGAAATAACATAGAGATAAGAGCATAAGCCTGCCGTAGGTGCAGATTCAGGAAGCTTAATGATAATCTAATAGTGTTGACCAGTCATTAGCTTGGTTGCTTGCTTGCACCTAGACTTTCTGGTTCCTACCCAATATGGGGTATTGGCCTTGAAACCAGCCATTAGCAGAAATGTACAATGATGAAGTTTTTTTCTAAATGCAACTCACAGCTAGACTCTAGCACAATAGCAATTAATAGCACTCACACCGCAGATTTCTGGTCGAATAAAATGTGCTAGCAGGTTTTGTACATTTATATATTAATCTCCTAGAGTGGCATGTCAAACTTTTTTTGTCTTTTTGGTATCATTAATGGTTAAATGAGTTGGCTTTTCTCCATTTGGCAAACTGTTGTTAACAAGTAAATGTAACGAAATCGACAAGGCGCGAGTTTTGCCCACAAAAAACTACACTGCCATCTACCAACACGTTCTAAAACGCTCTGAAAGAAGTCATTATGTGCCACGATTTTCCTCTAGAAGCAATTGTAGTTTTTTTTTTCTTCTCTTTACTCCATATTTCGCTATGAAGTGAATGTGACTGAATGGCAGTCCAAATTACGGGGTTTTCATTGTCAAATACGTCCCCACTAGTTCACGTGTGGCATGCAGAAGCCAGAAACAACGAAGTTGATTAAATGGCTTTGTCAAAATTAGCAAAAGCAATCACGTCACCGATGTGAATACGTGCACAAGCTCTTTCACAGCACACTTATGCAACGTGACACAGTGGTCTAGCGGCTCAGGTGCTCGACTGCAGACTCACAAGGTCACGAGATCGAATTCCGTCCTCGGCGGCCACATTTTCTACGGAGGCGAAAACGCCACAAGCGCGTGTCCTTAGACATAGGTCCACGTTAAAAGAAATTTCAGGGGTCGAAATTTTCGAAGCCTTCTGCTGTGGCATTTCTTGTAATCATATCGCAGTTTTGGAATGTTAAGCCTCACTTGTTATAAGCACACTCGCACAGCATGCTAAAATGTGACAGTTCGCAAAATTGTTCAAAACACATCTTTACAAGCTTGTGTGAGTTTTATAAAGGTATTTCCAACAGAAGTTACGTTGTTGTGCATCACCAGCACGAAGCATTCTCTGAAACTTTTCCACAAGAAAGCTAACAAATGGTGGAGTATCATGACACTTGAAACTTCTGTCGGGTTAATAAACTAGTGTACGCTAAAATCCCTTCAGGTATGCTCATCACATATGTAGGCTTAGTCCTCACCAACTTCTCAGAGAAGAAAGAAAATTTCTACATGTCGTAAGCGGCTCCTTCACTACGATTGCGAGGCATTCGAAACAACTAATATATCAGGGTATGAACAGAGCACAGACAAGGCAGATTTAACACAACTTGTTGACAGTTTTTTATTTTCACAAAAAGACAACACTCTTGGAGACACTGTTGGTCAGTTGAAAAAAAGAAAAACATGGCCTGTCATGTAGAGAGTCTTATCGATCCATGCATTCCAGAATCTCGGTTGTCCCAAAAAGGAAATGCAAGTGCTACAATCGAAGGGCTCTCTCGTAATACGTCACCATGTTCGAACGAGTACGTTCAAAAGTGAAACACACTGCCATCCATCTGATAATGCTCTCACTTTCACTTTCTGCCTAGGCACTGCATTGTCAAGGCTTATGTGTGTATATATATATATATATATATATACCTCTGTAATCTTACGCTTCTCACAAGAGTGACACAAACACAGGAAATTTACATATTCACAAAATAAGTGTAAAGTGTACATACACACTATGCTGATTTTTACATGCCTTGCAGCTTGCACATGCATACAAACATGGAGAGATGTCATAGTAATCAGCACAATGGAAAGTTGGGCGAGTTGGTTTTGACCATGGAGTAAGATAAAACAAGAAGAGCGACTCTGCTTGTAGGGAAGGAACACATTCTGCAATGTTGGTTCTTGCTTCACAGAATCTTTTCCAGATGGCACAATAAAAAAAAAGACGGGGAGAAAAATGCTGGTATTCAGACGAGAGCCACGGGTGGGGTCTCTGTGTTCAGCCACCTTTCTGCGTCTGCTTGCTTGTCCATATTGTCGTCAGCAGCGTGCCTCCGACTCCCAGCACATACAGCATGCACAAAATGATTTCTGTGTGCCTAGACAGATGGCGCTTGACAAAGTGAGAGAGTAAATGTGCAAGGAAAAGAGTAAGCATGAGCATAAGTGTGGGACAAAGCGGAGGGAGATAGCAAAGGAAAGACCTGGATCCCTGCATCCACGTAGCACAGTTTGTCCCGAATGAACGCATAGCACAGCGGTGAAGTTGGTGCTCCTGTATATTTCAAGTCATGAATCTGACTCACGACGTGAAAAGCTGTGAAAATACGACTGCATAACAGAAAGACCAGAATACGTTTTCTATCATCATACGTTTTCTATGCATCATTTTTTTTTGCACTTTTTCACACTGTGAGTCTCAGAAATGTTTTAAGCAAGTCAAATGGTAGGTCCCTTAACCATCAGAGCAGCGGGCACCAAATGAAGGAACTGCCATAAAACTTTGCACTTGGCCAAACACAGCAACAACAAAAACATTTTGGAAATAAAGCATTGCTTGCAACCCACACTGAAACGCACTTTAAGCACTTAAGAACGCCACCCAAGATATTTGTTCTCGGAACACGTCGGGCGGCCTCATCTACGAAGAAACACCGAAATAAACTTTCCTGAAAGACATGCTGGTTCAGACAAACATTCATAATACACGCTGTGATTAAAAACCATTTCTTTTTTTTTATTCTCGGGTGGTTTCGTATCAAACGCCTCACATACACCATGCAACTTTGAGATCGGCAGCGTGCAGTAGCCCAAACATTAAAACATGTCTGAAGCAACACCTTTTTCCGTACATTCGGTAGTGTATCTATGTAGTTGTAACAAGTGTAAATCGCTGCAAAATACCGACAACTTAAACGAGCACGCAGCTCAAAACACGTTAACAGAACTAAAGAACAGCTCCATTACTAAACCTGCCTACCCAACAAAGACAAAACATTTTCTTTCCTGGAGTGCTGTGTGACTTTCATCTCTAACAAAAAAAAAAAAAAAGTTTGGGTCTGTCAAGACACGCCAAGAAAGTATGCAGTCTTCATGGCAGCACAAATCAAAATGTATTATGTATACTCTTCACTTCCTTCTAGTTGCATACCTTTAAGCTTCCCATACTTCTCTATGACACTAGTGCCATAAAAATCTATATTAACCAGACTATACAAGCAGCCTCTTTTAGCTCACAAGCGACTCAATTTCCAGTGAAGAACATTCCAGAATACGCGAAGTAAAGTACAGGCTAACTTTCAGTGCCTCTATCATGCTTCCATAAACAAGCTGCAGAGAGAGATTTCATTCTTACGCTTTCAACAGTAAGGCATTCAACTTCGAGCACTTTCAGCTTAGCATATACTGCTTATAACATTTTCGTAGTTATAAGCAGAAGAGAAACGCTACCCACACGATCATTGCAGCACAGAACATGGCACAGACAAGCCGCCTTAAACATTAGAGGCACGTTTTTTTGAGCGAAATAGTTGTACTGAAATGACATTTCATCCAGCAACAAACGCTCTCAATATGGGAATTATGAGCACTGAAAAAATGTAAACACTAAGAAACACTTTGATATGCAAGATATGACACAAAAACATATGCATTGTACAAAACATCCCTAACTTTTGAACACTGCTCATTCGAATTGAACGCGTTTACCATACTTTTCATCTGTGCATACGCTGTATAATAGTGACTGTATTCCCAGTCTGACAAGTTTGACATATTGGCATTAAAAAGTACTCCCTAAGTGGACAGTTAGCTCTTCATATTCAAGTAGAAGGGACATTTTACAATGCTGTGTTGTGTGCAATGCAAAATGCCAGAGGCAACTATTTCAGTACAGTCACACTTTCGACAACTACAGGAAGCTTGATCAGGATGCAATATAAGATAAAAAAAGAGCAAGCCTCAAAGAAACACAGAACTACAGGAACAAAGGACACAGTGCCCTAAAATAAATGTTACGAAGCTCAGTCGCGACTGCCAGCCCATCAAAGCAAACCCTCCTCAATGTTCCCAGACATGAAGCATCACACTGCCACCTATTTATGGCAAGAAACAGCGCAACAGTACATAACTCTCATTGTTGCCAGACGTGTTAAAGAACTTGAACGCCACTCAACCATCTTGTCGGCATCTCGCCAAGTAGAAAAATAAAAGCCTGCAGCAGCAGCTGCATCCGTTTACAGTCACAGCAAAGCAAGAACATTGTAAGCATTTTCAATCATCGATTGCCGCAACGCCGTGAATGCTTCCTGAGGATTATAGTAAGAAAATGGCCAACAAAAATTGATCATACTCAACGTCACAATTTCTTCAAGTAAACAGCTACGTCACGTGCACATGTACCACCAAGTGCTCTAGCGTCACAGGTGGACTATACAGACGCAAGAGAGCTTTCGCAATAGGAGGCAAACACACCTGCTGCCGTATAAACCACACCTGCCACAACCAAGCCATCATCAGCAAACTTCCATACGCATCCAAAACAACACTAACAATAACCACTACGGGAAAAACGATAACTAAATAGACTGTGATGGGTTGCATGGATTCTTGTAAGTGCACAATGGGGTGACTTAACGAACGTAAGGTTGTAGACTACTGCGCACACTTTGTGCCAACGGCAGCTTTCAATGAAGAGCTGCAACACGTCGCTCTTATCTCTTTCCAATAAGAATGAAAAACAACGCAAAACAAAGACAAACAGGAACATGGGATTGTAGGTCCGAAGGAGTCAGCACGGGGCCCATCTTCAAAATGAGCGGACGCCGGCGAAACGCCTGAACTCCTCGTACGTGACCCAAAATGTGAAAGACCACGGTGCCTGCAAAATACGATAGGAAGAAAGTAAAGAATAGTGGTGAAAATCAGTGATAGACATGTAAGCAAGAAACAGTTCGAAAAAAATAAATGCACACTCATAATAAAAAGTTTTTAAATAGCCCCATTAAGAAATTATGTGGTAGTGAAATATAACACAACCATCGCATAGAAGCCATGTTTCTCATTAAGCACAAACACAATTCAAGCATCTCGCCGTTATGAATAAAAGTTTGGGCCCTTGCCACGACGAATTGTTCATAATCTATCCTTAATTCAAAAGTTTACCCATGCTAACATAACCTACCATCCAGTCAAAGCCTGAGATACGAAAAGACGATCCTTTGTTTCCACCACTTATTTAGGTTTCAAAATGTTACTACTTCGAGTTTATGGTGCAGGATATCCCAAGTGAAAACATTATGCAAATAGTCACCCACACTGATGACTGCAGAGTAGGGGTACATGAATATTTCAACTTTCAACTATTTCTTAAATAGTTTTTGCTATTTGATTAACACCAGAATTTTTCTATTCCAGGAATAATCGAAGGAATATAACAGTATTCAAATTATCTTCGATTCCAATTTGAATTACCATAAAACCGGAATATAGGTCGACCCACAAACTTGGAATTTCTGAAAAATAAATCTTTAAAAATCGCAAAGTACTCTTGTCCTTCTCCAATACACACACACAACCAGCTGCACTGTGGTGACATTTATTTTTATTTGGACACCAATCTAATGCAGTTAAACACCAGATGGCCACAAAGTGCTGTCACTCAGACTTGTCCAAACTTGAGTCCCACGACGTCTATTTTTCACTAGTAATGTCCCATAGTGCATCGTCCTCCATTCCATCCAATGCGTTACTGATGCAGCATTTGCGTAAAAACAGAAGTACGCCGCCTCAGCGTAAAGCCCTTCCACTTCATAAATCGGCACGCCCACGATGACGATCCCTTGAATTACAACACCCTCTTGAGCCCTGAGTCGCGCGCTATATCGAGAGCTTTCACGCGGATGCACTCCGCTGTTACGGGTCGCGACCTTGCATGCAGCTCCCGGACAAATTCGGCGAGTTTCCAGTTCGGGGTGCGCTGCAGTTGGCCCAAGAAACTCTTTTTCTTTTTTTTTTTCAGGATGTGATGCGCTGTTTTTTGCTCCTCTAGTATCAGACGCTTTTATCCGATGCAACAGATTCCAACTGTGCCACCAGGTTGCCGTGCACTTCGGCATACTCGATAACTTTTTTCTTAGAGCTTATCGTAAACTGCCGTCGACTACCACTCATTTCCGAAGGAAGGAGAGAAAAAGAAACAGCAGACAGACAGCAGGAAACCGAGGCAGAATGGCGTTGCTATAACACTGTTGGCCTTTCCTAGTCTAGCCCAACGGTGCTGCTGCTGACGCTCACGATGGCTATTGAGGCTTTCGACCTAGGCTGCCCATTGTCACAACACTTTCACATTTTTTTCTGCCAGTGACAAATATATAAGACAAGAGTCAACATTTCATTGTGCTTTTTTTTTTAATTCGACCTATATTCTGGTTTTTACGGTAGAGAAAATTTTTGAGTATTCGAGACGAACAATCTATAATGTAAAACCCCCTGTAAGAGTGGTTTCACTGCAGTAAAGAGGTGCTAAGTTGTGAGAACACCTATCCAAAAAAAAATCTGCACAGTCGCAAAGCACCACTTCAATATTAAATGAACGTATGATATGACTCTCACATCGATTCATCATAGTAACTTAAGTTTATATTTTTGCTATACCGGCTTACACACTCTAAGTATTGTAAATTTTAAAATGTAGCATTTTACATAAGTCATCACTTGCATTCTACCAAAAGTCAAATCCTGCTGCTTTTCGTAGTTGCTTCCTTTGAACCAAGAAAAATGGAAGTTGCACGGGCCTTGTTTAAATTCTTAAAAAGATATTGTGCAGGTTAGTTGGGTTATAACAAATATGCTCATTTTTCATTACAAAGTGTGATATACACCAGTATTCCAATTCGATCCGAAATTATTTGAACCAAATCACCATTCACTTCGAACGTAAAATTCACTATTCACAAAAGCCTCATAATGAGCTTGAATCAGCATGCAGCATGCTTGGCCAAACGTTTTAGGGTGCCGAGATGCAAAACTGCTAGCCACTTTCACCGGTGCTCTGAGCAGCCACTGGGCAATAATAAGTTTTGCCAGGGTCTGCTGTCAATGCGTAAAATGTCCATACACAGTGCCCATAACGTAAAATACCCATAAAGTAGCACACTACGCCTTCATTGCTTTCACATGTCCGCTGGCACAATTTTCTTGCCCGTTTGGATTTGTCTCGTGCATCAGCAAGCGTGAGGAGAGTTGTGCCTAACCACGACTTTGAGCAGTAACTTCAGTCACGGTACACCTAGTCCCGATGCCCCGTGTTTCAAAGTATTTAATGCTCTATCACAAGTACAAAAAGTTGCCTCGTGATCGTCTTCGCCACAAGATTTGAAATGCTGATAAGTAGAGCCTTTAACCGCGAGTCCTACGAGTGGACGCCGAGTACACTTGTTTCAAGACATGCATCCGCGATGTCCACAATGAGCACAGCGCACTATCATACGTTTATTATATAGCTCCCACTTGCAGCTGCCAAACTAGAGCATAATTATATTTTAAATTATAATCGACCCATGAACACAGTACAAGTGCGAATGCATAACTAAGTAGTGCGATGGTCGATAGCCACGACCTCGCAATGCGCAAGCAGCAAACGATGCTCTCCCGTAGCAAGCATCAGACCAATGGTAAGGCGTGTTGGAGCAAGATAACAGATGCAGCAAATGAGAGGCCTCGAAATTCACTTTGAACATTTGCTTTTTATACACTTGTTTCTGAATGGAGGACCTAGCTGAAGCGGGAAACTTGAAGACGGAGAAATGCTCTTCCTGGCAAGCCCAAAACGACGGCACTGCGACGGCTGCATTTTCAATGGAGGTGAAAATGCTGTAAGTTCATGTGTTCAGATTTGCGTTAAAAACCCAAGGTGGCCGCCTGGGTTTTTTTTTTTTTTTCGGCCACCTGGGGTTTTGTTAAAAAACCCCAGGTGGCCGAAATTTCCGGAGCCCTCCACTACGGCGTCTCTCATAATCATATGGTGATTTCGGGACGTTAGACCCCACATACCAATCAATCATCAAAATGACGGCACCCTGTTGTTCCACTGCAAAGCAACATTTTGTTGCATTTTAAAATATGCCTAGAAATTTTCTGTACCATTTTTCCTGTAATTTTGCTTCAAGTTATTCAAAAAATATTCAAAAATTATTTTATTAAATTTGCACTCAAACTCTATCATTCATATTCAATTTGCACACAGAATTTTGCTGTTCACTCAGCTTTACTCCAAAGTAGTGCCATGCTTCTGACAGGCACCACGGTGAAGTGCTTGTCAAACTTGAAGCTTACCACTGGCCGCTGTCAGAACTAGGAGATTATCACGAGTCACTGGGAATACACCAAAGTGCATATATCTGAACAAATAACTTAGGCCAAATTCACACAGCCGTTAAATACTCGCATGCATTGATGTCAGATGCAGTGCAATGTTTCCTCAGCACTGAAAGCTTCAAAAGCAGGACACTTACAATGTTGAAAGCATCAGGCAACTTCAGTGACACACCACGTGAGATATGAAACTGGCCAGACAATGTATTTACATAAAGGATGCTGACGTGCAATGGCGATTTCATAGAGCACTCACCAAAGGTGTAAATCAAGTCTGTCACTTGATGACTGCACAACATGATCAAAAATCATTAACATTAGTACCAATCACAAATTTCCCAACCCAAAATTACATAAGCACTACCACTTGGTCGGGTCGCTAACACCATCAAATCGAATAGCAGTGCCCAAAGGACGTGTTCTGCCTAAATTTACCTTTTCTCTTGTTTTTTGGGGTGAAGCTCTTCAAGCTATGGTTCCTGCATCCTCGATGTACGTAGTAGGTAGCCATCTCTCGCTTAGTTCTTGGTATGTCCACTAGGTGGCAGTACTTGCATATATTTAAATATATGATGAAAAGAAGCGAGATGGCGTTACTTGGAGTGTTCGCTCTATGAACGGATGGACAGACAGACACACAGACGGATGGAAAGACAGATGGACGGACAAACAATTCACGGTGCACCGAAACAACCCTCCAAAGCTTCACCTCACTCATGATGTGATATTATTTTTTTCTTTTTCAATTCTACGGCAATTCTTACTCAGCTGTTGAATCATTGCGGGAAAATGTTGGCAGGAAACGCTATGCTGTGCACAAGGCGCGCGAAAAGCGGGTGCAAGGCGGGGCTGCTCATGGGAACGCGAAAAAAGAAAGCCAAGTGTTCAACAAGGGCTATGCAGATCGTGGTCTCATCTCTGTCTCAACAGCATCAACTATAGCCGGCGTTCAAGCATGCAACCCCTTGCGCGATAATGGGCGGAAGAAAGAACCATGGGCTAACCATGCGTGCCCAGATGGGGAAGAAACCCTTGTAGAGCGCCTTGAATCCCTCGCCCCGCACGGTCTTGAATAGGCAGTCAAGAGGAGAGCCGTACAACAAGCCCCTGCACAAGAAAGAAATATGGCAAAACTTGAACACACGTAAACAACAAATACTGTAGGGGCGCCACACTCCCTCACTACTTCTAATGTTTGGCTTAACTGCAATGCACGAAAGCAACAATTATAGCTGGCATTCTAGTCCCGCAATTGTGATGACAGGCAGTGTAGGTGCTCCTAGACTGCTCAGTGGTCTGTAGAAAAAACAACACTATGTTGGCAATCTGGCAATGCTGCATACCGTAAAATCCCAAGCAACCCCCCCCCCCCCTGCCCCTTCCCTTTTCCACTTTTTCAGGAAATTTGAAGTATGCCCCGCTTCTCCGCTCCCACGAGTATCTCCACCGATTCATTCATACAGTTTCCTACAATTACACTAGATTAAGAATTTTGCGGGTATAAATTAGCAGCAGCAAGCACAGGACCGAGTTGACTGGCATGACATGGGGAGGCCTTTGTCCTACAGTGGACGTAGTCAGGCAGATGATGATTATGATGATGATGATGATGAGGCTAGAGGGAACTCTAGCACTAGTGCCTGTGGGAGCTGCAACGCATGGCGCTTCAGCGAGCATGGGAATGATGAGTAGTATACAGATTTGCCTATTTTTCATACTTGTGGCTCCGCTTGGCTTCGCATGGCTAGGAGTTGCTTTGTCACAAAACGACAATCAGCAACTGTTCAGCAGTTGCACTTCACCATCTGGACCTTTTAGGCTCACCAATTCAAATTCAGTCCCGAAGTTCAAAATGGTTAGTTCTTTTATTCAAAACAAAAGCAAAACACAGCATTAAACGAAGCCACAGGTGCGTTTGAAGCCTGCAAGCACGAAGACCAGGCAAATCTGTGTACTGCTACCCGTAATTCCCATGGTGGCTGAATTATCGCAATGCCAGAGCCCCCTCTAGTTAACTTTAGTAAGCTCTATGGTTTCATTGACTGCTTTTATTGGCGTGACGAGGGCAAATGATAACAGTGAATGCATGGCTATTTTAATAGAGCACTGTATTAGAGCCACAAGGGCACCTTCTTTATTCTCAACAGCTCTTTCGCCGCCATGCTGAATTTTCATCCACGACCGAGCAAGGGTTCCCTGTATAAATCTTGTCGGGTTATCCTTCACTGAAAGCGCGGAAGGGGGGGGGGGGGGGCTTGCACAAGGTTAAATTGTACAGTAAGTGGCACAATACATAGCCCTTTCACATGTTGCCAAAATCAATCTAACAGCCCCACGAGGCACGTGCATATGTGAATGCTTGAACAAACTCCCACGCGCAAAAGATGTTAAGTGACTGACAGTGATTCACGAAGTTTGAATTAAGGTCAGAGATTGAGAAATATGTGAATGACAGCTCCATGAATACTTGGGAAAGCATTCAAGGGAAAAACAGCTAATAAGGTCTTAATAGACAGCTACATTGAGCTAACTAGTATTGATCCATAATAATAATAAGCTGTCCAAATTTTCAACGAAGACAAACAAATGAGCAATAACCACACGTGCTTTTTTCAACAGTTAAGTAGAAGAAAGCACTCCCAGCTTTTCATTTTTAATCACGTCTTTGTAGCAAATATGCGCTACATAATATATTACGAGCTAAACACGGCTCAAAGCACTGCAAGTAACACATCGCAGTGAATAAAATGCCTCCACAAGATTTGCCCGTGGTCACCCTTCTTCAGTCTTCAAACGTAACTTTTTCTCTAACCTGGTATATTTCTTGGAACATTTAGTTCTCTATATTCCAGAATAAAGTGGCAAACGTAAAGACTGCAGCTCTTTCTGCAAGTGTGCAGATGGTAAAGCCAAACCTTGTTACAGTCAAACCCATATTTTTCAAATCTAAAGGGTATCACGTAATAATAATTGTTGGGGTCTAACGTTCTAAAACCGCAATATAATTGCGTGGAGCGCTCCGGAAATCTGTACAACCTAGGGTTCTTTAACCTGCACCAAAGCCTCACGCATTTTCACCTCTATCGAAAAAGCAGTCGCCACTGCTTGAATTTGATACCGCGACCTTCAGGTCAGCAGTCGCGTGCCAGACCATAACCACTAAACAATCAAAGCGCATCAAAAAGGGATCATAAAAGAGTTCTATATAAAGGTAATTCAATAAGTAAAGTATTTTACACAACTATGGTATTTACTCGCATAATACGCACACTCCCAATTTGGTTGCGAGAAACCAGGTTTTCTTTATTTACGCCAAAATAGGCGCACCTTGAACTTGGCCGTGGTCAGTGGTTCTGTACTGTACATGCGCAGTTGCATTTCGACGCCCTTTTTGATTCATTGAAGAGAAGAAAAAGAAAAAATAGCGCGGCAGCAATAGGTAAAAAGGTGGCTGCCTGGGCATCGGAGTAACCTCCGCACACACTCTAGCTGGCAGCGTGGGTTCCGCATCAAACGTGTGACTGCGCCTTCGTCAAGCGCGCTTTGAGTTTCTTGTTGGCAAACAGAACCTCGTTATCACGTTTGCTACCTTGTCCACAAATTTAAAAGCTCTTCGGCTTTCCGATGCGAGCTTTCACTGTTACTGCGACAACGCAGACTTGCACAAGCTCGGCAGACTTTTGCGACCGTTGACTTGCTGGTCGCTGTTGGATCAGTGCTTGAGGGTGATCTTTTCGACGTCCTATCTTCAAGTTGTCTTGTACAAACTTCTCACGGCAACATGCCGAACTGTGCGTTAGGCTTAATCAGAGCTCGTTGCTTTTCAGTGGCGGTCACGGGCGATCAATGTTGCGATTTTGTACTGAATCAATGTAACTCTTTGCAGTGGCTTTACTTGAAAGAAAGAGGGCATGTGTGATGACACTCGCATGGTGGTTTGCAATTCGATTGCAGTGTCTTGGATATGGGGTGCAAGTCCGTAAAATCGAACGATCGGTACCGTTCAGCGCACGAAAGTTCGGTCGTGGTCATGCGCATAATCTAGGTGGCCCGAATCGTAACCGGCGAACTTCCGTGATGGCGCTTTCTTTTCGTGTTTTTTTTTTATTCATTATGTTGACAATGTAGGTCTTTTGATGTCAACTTTTGGAAATTTGAATGCCCACCGGATCACATGCCTAGATTCTCGAACACACGAGACTGCATGCTCAACACATTTTGCGCTGGTGTAGTTTATGAAATATAGGTTGTTTCGACTAAGGCGCGAATATTCGCGACTCCAGCGACTCATACGACATCAGCGGTCTATGCTGTAGTCTGAAACAAAATTTTCGAAAATTTTACTCCACGTAATAGGCGCACCCCAAACATGGAGCCGGACTTTTTGAAGAAAGTGTGCCTGTTACGCGAGTAAATATGATATATACCCAAGGTTATTTTACAATTGTTTGAGATACACAATATTATGTCATATGTGGCATTGATATGTGAGGGTTCAATTGTATGCACAAGCTACGTCTTAATTCAAAACTGTCACATTTCATCTAAAAATTCGTCATATATATAAATGCATATTTGTAACACTGCATTAATGCCGAGAGTATTCACTTATTACTTCATAACCAATGATTTATTATATTCGTATTCGTTATATGAAAGTTAAACTTAATAAAGAAAAAGATCCCTACCCTCTGGTTTCCAGGATACATTCAGATAAGGCTCGGATAAGTTCAAGGTTGCCATAACAACTGATCACGAGCACAAATTGCTGTATATGCCAGACTAGAGAAACTGCCACCATGGTCAGTAACGTCAAGAAGGCTCTACTTTAAGTGGCTTCAAGGCTATGATGGTATTCAGAATGCAAAAAAGGTGCGTGCAACTCACTTTCCCTGGTTGTCTGTTGGCTGGTTCATGACCCTCGTGCGGATCACGTCAGCAGGTGTCCCCAGCGTTGCTGCTATCAGGCCGGACATCCCACTGCACCATGGCACACGGCTCATTGTCAAAGCCTACCACTTGCCTTTTTAAATGCTAAACATTAACTCAGTGTACTACTGGTACTTTGAGCATCTCTCCACGTATCCATCTATCTAGCCACATATGACTGAATGCCCTCGTGATCACCCCTTTAACTTGGGTAAACAAAAAATAGTTAGGCAGGATAAGATAGTTGGGCGAATATGACTCACTGGCCATCTCGCAGCATACGTCCCACACGTGTGAAACCTTATTTGCCAGACATGTGCGGCGCCTACCGTATTCTACAGGTGGGTATGTGCCACAGGTATGTGGGTACGTGCCACAGGTGTTCGTCAGTTTGTGTCCACCTATTTAAATGCGAGAGCATGAAGAAAAATTACACAGTCTCCCGCTAAACGGAACCATGTGTGGACGCGAAGCAGCGGGGAGATGGTAGATGGGAGACTCCTCTACGTCACCCTAAGCAAGTGCACCAACATTCGACCGTCTACCTGATTAACGCTAATGGTGACCATCGCTTAATGCCAGTGAACGCTGCCAATGACCAATGCTGCTGGTGACCATGACTATAGCACTTCTAAACAGTCTGTTCCTCAAAGCACACACCAAAGGCATTGAACATGATCTCATGCAAAACAAAGCAGATGTGCTCGATCTCATGAAAACGTGGAAGGCCGCAAGACCGACGATCAACGGCTACGAAGTGATCATGTGTACTGACTGATTGATATGTAATGTTTAACGTCCCAAAACAACCATATGATTATGAGAGATGCCGTAGTAGGGGGCTCCGGAAATTTCGACCACCTGGGGTTCTTTAATGTGCACCCAAATCTGAGCACACAGGCCTACAACATTTCACCGGAGGATCATGTGTACTGATGAAGCGTTTCATTGCCTGCACCGTCAGCACGGGACAGAGAGGAGGAAGCGTAGGAGAGGAGAGAGAAGGAAGCGAACACACCTGCACAGTGGGGGGTGGGCACCGCAGGAGGGAGTGAGGGACAGACACAGCCCTTCCCCCTCCCCATAAGCTGCTTCGGATTTAAATATGACATCAGCAGCGCTGACACAAATGCAAAAAATAAATGTTATGGTGCCATCAAGAATCAAGCCCAAGCATTGTGCATGGCAATCAAGAATTCTACCACAGATTCATGTCAGGTGTCCGAACCACTTTGGAAAAAGACCCTATTCAGGCATAATGTTTATGAAGCAGCAATTGTGGTTGTAGTGCTGGCAATCCAATTTCAAAAACATTACATATGTACTCCTATCATACAGCCATCTCACCAGACTAATATCAATTGATGATGTAGATTACTATGTACAAGTGTCCAGGGCTACCATCCTTACTGCTTTGGGTGTTGCTAATATTCATGTTGCACTTGGCATCCTTACACAACTGTAAACAACTCGTTATATAAAACATAAGTGGCTGTTTAACGTATGTCTGTGCATGCATTTATACTAGCTTTAACACCACTTCATAACGTTTTGCTCAACGAAACAATTACAACACAGTCACTTTTCATCCGCATGCTTCGCATAACATCGATTCCCAAGCTACGTAGGATCTCCTTAATTTTTTTTCTTCTTTATTTTTATGCGATTTTTATGCTAATTGAAAAAAAAAAAGCTGTAGCATGAGCATCTAACTAGTAATGAGTTGAGCAGTGCATATCGCGAATGCATGGAAGAGCAAGGCTAGGGCTAGTGCAACCATATAACTACACAGTTTCATTAGATAACCACTCAAACGCGCCTCCGTCTGCCGATGGGACTGCTAGAGCATCGCAAGGAGATTGAAAACGCGTCACTTGCAAGAAACTCGTCGTTGCCGCATTAATCCAATGAAGTATTCATCACCTACTCAGCACGGTCGGGAGTGGAGTGGGGGCAAACAACACTACCACAGCAAACATGCACACACAGTACAGCAGGCAGCCTTGCAAGACAGCGTGAGCTGAGTAGGCGGCATACTTCCAACCAAGATTGGCTCCACGTGGCCGTAACACGTTTCAGTGAAACTGTCAGTTTCAACTCACCAGCAGATCATGGCACAATTGCTCAATCTGAGTCTGTGCCTTCCTTGTCAAAGTTCTGCTTTAATGGCACACACATGTAAGTGATGTCAGATAAAGCCATTTGTTGGTTTGTTAGTCGCTGCACTTTCCAGACCCTAGAATGGTTTTGAATAATTCCTTTATGTCCACACAGTGCACCATCGAATGCTGTTGCGAGAGAGCATGAATCTTTTCCGTACTTTGGCAAAATAAAATAAAAGACTTAGTGTTGTGTACTTAGGGATATTTTGCTGTCATACTATACGATAGAGCCTCACAAAATGGAAATTTGTTCAACAGGACTGCTGTTAAATTAATCTATTAAATGAAACAATTGCCTCTAATATGATTGGTTTAATACTTGCATTCCACACTATTGTTCATCTCTCCACAAATAAAACGCTTGTTAAATAGAACACACTCTTCTGGCCCCTTCAGACCGCATCTATTAAGAGTCTGCTGTATTTATTTTTTGTTGTTGTTGGCAGCAACTGCACACATGAGAAAATGCTAATTCATACTTGTTGGTTAATGCATACTGCCAATCAAAGTTTAGTTATGTACGTGTCCGGCCGGTACATTTTAATTACTGTATTCAGCACCGTATGTGAAGTGTGCAAATTCTTAAGGCCTTATAAAACAGCTAGAGCAACCCTTGCTCTGCCCATGCACCATCTGCACATGTTAACTCGTGCCCCTCTTTTAACAGCTAAAACAAAGCTGAGTGCATGGCTGAACTGTCCTACAAACAGCAAAGATCAGCTCACCTGGCGAGTGAGTGGGTGAAATAGTTGTCCTTGAGGCTCGTATGCTGCAGGAGTAACCGCTTTCCTGTGTCGTACGTCGTCAAATCTGCACAGGGGAAGAAAAAGTCATGAGAGGACAACCATTTTAGGTGGTGCACCGGCTGGAACTTGTGCACCGTTTGGAAGAGGGAACACGGAAAGGGCACTTCCAGTGCACATTTTTATGCTCCCACTTGTACAGCCTTGTACAACTTATCAGTGAACACATGGCAAAACTGCCTGGGACATGCAATAGGAGTCTTTTGGAATTCTCAATCTGCTGTACTGTGAATGACTGCTTTCAATTTTTTCGCTAACTTTTTTCTCAAATGCATTTTTGTAAAGCTCATTTTGGAAAGCTACCATATAAACCGAACTATAAGTCGAGATATTTTTAATAAAACTAGCTGAATGGGACCCTTTTACCAAAACTAATATCAACAAGCCAGAAAAAGAACAAAAAAAGGCCATTCGTTTTATTTATAACAGCTTCAGGTGCACTTCAATTACGGAACTTTCAACTCGAGCTAATCTACCAACACTAACAGAAAGAAACCGCTTATCTAGACTAAAATTTCTATATCAATTAATAAAGGGACATTACAAGATAGACATTACTGAAGTTCTTTCATTTTCACCCGGATATGCAAATCGACAAAGGCATGAGCGCACAATAACACCCTATGCAACCAGTAACAACTGCTTTAAATATTCATTCTTTCCACGAACTATAAACGACTGGAACAAACTAACCAACACCGAAGTATTACAGCCATCCTTAACATTGTTTTCTTCTAGCCTCAATAACAGTGTTTAATATAGCATGCCAATTAAGCTCTGTCCCCATAAACGTTCGAATTTTTGCATATTTGGGTTGCTTTGTGCGTACTTTTGTTTCTGTGCGTTTTTATCTTCCTGTTTTGAAAATTTTTTCGTCTTCATATTGAGCATTTATGTAATTCATGTAACCTACTCTGCGAAAATCCCTAGTAGGGATTGCAGTATTCATGAATAAATAAATAAATAAAGTCGCCCTTCGTCTTATAGAGCGGTGTCTAGCCGACAGTGCACCGCTGTATGGCAACATGTGGCTTGCATGTGCATGAGAAGCTGGATATGGCGATATTTGCATTCAAATCTAATAGCAGATTTTTTTGTTGTTATTTTTTCTCTCTAGTCTGTTTTTTTTTCTAGTCTGTTTTTCGCCTCTGATCTGTTCCAAGTTCTCGCTCTGCTTGACATTGTGTTTAATTTTTAGTGGTCTTTTTTTTCGTTCACTGAATACGAAGAGTTATACAAGAAGACAGTACTTAGCTGCGTTTAAACTAGAGGTTGTTGAGTTTGCAGAAGCAAATGGGAATATTCAGCGCCGCTTTGGTGTATCAGAAAAAAGCGTGCGCTATTGGAGGGTGCAGAAAGGGAAGCTGCAGATGTGCAATCCTCGGAAAATGTCATTTTGTGGGTGAAGTGTGGTTCATCCGCAGCTGGAGAATATGCTAGGCAACTTTGTGTGATGAGTTCATGCGTGCTCGCTGCCAGTGATCGTGGATACCATTCACAAGAAAGCTGTGGAACTCGCTCGAGAAGCTGGACTCACGAGAGAAGAGTTTTGTGCACCAAACTCTTGGATGCGTCGATTCATGAGACGCAAAGGATTTTCTTACCGGTGGCGCACATCTATCTGTCAGAAGTTTCCAGACGAGTTCAAGGACAAGCTTATAAACTTTCAGGGCTTCGTGAGCTGGCTTCGGGAGCAGAACAACTACATGATGGGGCAGATTGACAATGCCAATGAGACCCTCGTGTAGTTTGACATGCCTTCAACGACCATGATCATGCAGCGTGGCGCCAAGAATATGAAGCTGTTGTCCACTGGCAACGATCACTCGCACTTCACAGTCATGCTGGCATGAATGGCAGATAGTAGAAAGCTTCCGCCCTTCATCATTTTCAAACGTAACACAATGCTGAAGGAAGTGTTCCCACCCGGTGTTGTCGTTCGCATCAACAAAAAGGGATACAGTCGCCGACCGATTTTTCGGACCTGGCGGGGACCGAAAAAAAGTACGAAAAATCGAACAGTCCGAAAAATTCGTTTTCGCCAAAAATCTGAAGTTTATTGCATCAGGCAGGTTTAAAAAAAATTGCCCGCAGCTTCCCTCGGGGGAACACTGAGGAGGATGCGGAGCATATAATTGGTTAACGGGGTGTTAAAGTGCGACTTACTTGGGTCGATGGCTAAATTGGTTAACGTGGTTGTGAAATTGGGTGTTAAATTGCGACTTACTTGGGTCGATGGCTAAATTGGTTAACGTGGTTGTAGGAGGGGGTGTTAAATGAGTGAACACGTACACACGTATGCGAAAGGGCGGCGCTGGTCGAAGGGACGTCGATCATTGTGTTTGTGGATTCGTTGGCATTCATTTCACGGCGACTTCGGACGTCGACGCGCCGTACAAACCAACGGACGAGCGGCAACTGAGCGAGCGAGCGCCGACCTTGAGTATATATACAGCGCGACGGCGCATGCACTGTCAGCTGTTGAATGTTCTCGAAGCGCGACGCCACATGCGCGTCCACTGGAGAATCAGGAGAATTCTAGATGTCGAACGCGGTGTGTAGAGGAGGAAGGGTGCACAGATGGTGGAGGAGTGAAGCGCGCGCGGTGTGTAGAGGAGGAAGGGATGCACAGATGGTGGAAGAGTGGGCGACGGCGCGACGGCGCATGCGCGCGCGTCAGCTGTCGATTGTTCGAGAAGCGGTGCGGACGGCGCACTACAAGGCGCGAGTATAAGATGCTTCCGCATCTAAAAGTCCTTGATGCTGCCTTGCCTCAAACTACGCTTGGAGGCAATTTGGTTTGCCCGTATTTGCGCCAAGGTGACATCGTCGCCGTAAACGCTCGACAAAATTGTCACCGCGTTGGCGATCTCCGCCGCCGACGGCTGCGGGCGGTCGTCGTTGTCGTCATCCGAGCCGCTCTCCGGCTCCGGGACAACCTGGCGAAGAATTTCGTCGTCAGTGGCCTCCGCGCACGCTTCTTAACACCACCTGGCTCCCGCGATGGCACAGATGGCGGAGCCATGGCACCGAGAACACAAAATTCGATGCCGCAGATAGCCGCTGCGAAGCACACAACGTCTCGACGCTACGCGACACAACACGTGCAGAATGGCTACTGAAAAAAGCTGCAACGACAATAAAAGAATCCTTCTTTCGCCTCCTCCCCGTGCATGTGATGACGATAGTGCTGACCGAAGACGAAAAAACCAACGTTTTTAGAACAATTCAGTTTCACAGCTTCCCATAGGCGCCCACTATCCGGCGCGGCCGCATAGCGTGTCGCGGCCGCTAGGGGCGCTGTAGGCATGCTTTGCTCCGCACTCTGCGCGTCGTCTGCTACACCGGAGGAAACGCGGTGCGGCGCGGCCGTGTTACCGCTCGCATTTCAAAGCGTTTCGCTTTGCTGGCGGAACAGTTCGTGTCAAAGCAGCAGTTTCTTCGTATACATGCATTTCATTGTTGCTGCGCCCATTTTCATCTGGTGGAATTACGTGTCTGGGCTCCATCTATAGCTACCGTCGCCAGTACATTCTTATGTGGGCATAGGCGGCCTCGCGCGAGCATAACTGTAAAAAAAAAGACACCCTTCAAAGAAAACGTAGATGCAGTAAAACTTTTTAAAAGCATAGTGCTCGTTTCTGATGCCACATAGTCATCCGCCGTTTACCGAACAGACTCGTCAATCTGATTTCGGTGTTTTTTTCCTTTCCTATTCCCGTGAATCTTATTTGAAGATAACATGGTGAGAATAATACTGAGAAAGTAAAAATGGCAAATTTAGAAGGAACATATATTTTCTTGCACATACAAAATAGTATTGCATCGTTCACTGAGCAAGAAAGGCAGCTCAAAGCAGCTTAGCTTTTTTTCTTGCATTTTGAACTTTTTCCGTGACAAGCAGGTCACGGTTCTTCTTTCGAGAGAAGAAGTGCATGCGCATCAAACAATAGCATTTGATTATCTTTGCGGTGAGGAATTCATGGTGCTCATTACAACCAATTGCAGGCAGTGCAGTCGCATGAAGCCTGTCCAATACCATCCAGAAAATATCCCCGAACACTGCCGACGTTTCAAGCGTATCGTGCACAACCTCTTCTACTTCCTTAATTAATGCGTACAGCCTAAATGAGGCCTCTCGAAGGCATCCTGGCTTGAATGACCTCAACTCTGTCAGGCGCCTCTGGTTGAGCTGTGTTTCCTCGGAGTTGAACTGATCGGGAGAAGCTGTGAGCAACGCACAGCATTCTTCGCACGTTATTGTTTTCGTGATTTTCTTGTGCACATAACCGGCTAGATAGTACACCACCATCTCATGTGCTCCAGCTTTTTGGTACCCATGATCCCGTTCGTCACAGCAAACGTCCTCGGTACAAACCATCCCCAGAAGCTTCTTATCCAGCTTTGCTTCAACGGCGAGTTTGTCGCGAACGCTGCAATTGGCTGTACCCAGGATTCAAACAGAGGAACAAACATCAATACTAGCGCATGGTCGGCTAGCTGGTTGGTTCCTTCATTCGTGACGCCTCCATAATCAACAAATCCGTCCATCTTGTAGCTGCATTTGTTGAAGTCATATGCCTGGCGCAACTTGATCTCGTCTAAGATCAAAGACCCCAACCTTTGCTCATCTGCTTTTCCATGAAACTGCTTCTGTATAGCTTCCAGACAAACGGGGTTGAAGCCGTACTTGCACGGCAAGCCTTTCAAAATTTGTGCCAAGCGGCTAAGAGAAGGCAGCGGCAACATTTTATCTCGCTAATCAGCTTGTATGCCCGTGGACTTGAAATTCTCAGCATCAAGCAGTTCAAAATCCACTCAGAATTATACCGCATGCCACACGGAGCTTTTGCTTTGAGTGACTTCAGTGCTGTCAGGAATGCCAGGCGTTGCAAGTGAGGAAGGCCACTTAAAGCTTCTTCTATTCCTTGGTAGGAAGCCTTCGCAAGCTCCTGTTTGAGCAGTGTGATTTCTTGCTTCCCCTTCTTCCTTGCAGCTGCAGCTCGC